AGTTATGACAGGGACCTCTCAGAGTGACAGTTATGACAGGGACCTCTCAGAGTGACAGTTATGACAGGGACCTCTCAGAGTGACAGTTATGACAGTGTCCTCTCAGAGTGACAGTTATGACAGTTTCCTCTCAGAGTGACAGTTATGACAGTGTCCTCTCAGAGTGACAGTTATGACAGGGACCTCTCAGAGTGACAGTTATGACAGTGACCTCACAGAGTGACAGTTATGACAGTGTCCTCTCAAGTAACAGTTATGACAGTGTCCTCTCAAAGTGACAGTTATGACAGTGTCCTCACAAAGTGACAGTTATGACAGGGACCTCTCAGAGTGACAGTTATGACAGGGACCTCTCAGAGTGACAGTTATGACAGTGTCCTCACAGAGTGACAGTTATGACAGAGTCTTCTCAGAGTGACAGTTATGACAGGGACCTCTCAGAGTGACAGTTATGACAGTGACCTCACAGAGTGACAGTTATGACAGTGTCCTCTCAAGTAACAGTTATGACAGTGTCCTCACAAAGTGACAGTTATGACAGTGTCCTCTCAGAGTGACAGTTATGACAGTGTCCTCTCAGAGTGACAGTTATGACAGTGACCTCTCAGAGTGACAGTTATGACAGAGTCTTCTCAGCGTGACAGTTATGACGGTGACCTTTCAAACACACAGGGACACACAAATAATCTCAGAAACAACGATAATAGGGTTATCTGATTCACCCAATCTGACAAGGGACCTTTCAGTTTCACAGCGATGGCAGGCTTCTATAAAATGACATGACAGTTCAATATTGGATGTTTAAAATACGTTTTATTTCATGCATTTAACCTTCACATTGCAACCTACAGTTCAATTGTGCTTTTCTATATGCATCTTGCCAATGTTTGTAGTGTCCTGTATAGGGTATACTACTAACTGTTTAATGCACATGAACATGCTGTGTTGTTTTCTGACATGAATTAAGGTGTGATGGCCGACATGAGTGTGATATGCGCATTAGTAACCACGTGTTTGGTGACCCCTGCCCTTCGACCTCCAAATATGCAGAAGTTAGGTACACCTGCCATCTAGGTAAGTTTGGCCTTACAAAACATCATATTGTGTTTTATTTCCTCTTCCATGGACATAGACTTGAATTTAATTTGATGCTTTTAGTGTTGTCGTTTTAGTTTACCTAGTCAATAGTTATTTTATTTTGCTTTATAAGTTGTAAGTATCATCATTTTATGATTTCAACATCACATAGACTGTTCTGCAGTTTCAGGAAGAATGCATTATTCTGTTCGTAATGTCTATGATATGTCTAGCATGTGTTTGTGTGAATCAAGAGTCTGTATACACAGGGGAAGAGATTTAAAGAAAAAAGGGACAGCTGGGGAAGAGACTGTGGAAGTTGCTAACATACTCTGTGTACATTGTGCAACTGATTGAAACACTGGTAGGCCAAACACTTTATTCAGATGAGTGTGCATGGATTTTCTAGTGCAAATGTAAAAACACTGATTCCAGATTATTTGGCTAAATGAAAAACTAAAACAGTTAAATATATAACCAGATAGTTAATTATATAATCATAGCCTACATCATTCTTATGTAACTTTGGGCTGCTGCATTCTGTGAGCTCAAAATGTGTTCTGCATGGTTTCTTCTCTTCTCTGCTTGTTAAAGTCAACTCTTCTCTGTATAAGTTTAAGATAATTTGTTGCAGTGCATCTATGCATGTTGTGTTTAGAAGCCTTTTCTTGCCAGATTTTGTTCTCTTTCCCAACAATTTCATGTCTAAGTTGCACATATTTTTTATTCATAGCATTTGAGATCCTATTTTTATGTTACTGTTTGCAAAAACCATAACAAAGAGTCATATCAACTGGCATGGGTGATTAATCCATATCCAAATCCTGCAGTCTCCAGCTTGTTTGCTGACTTTTTTCATGGCAGACAAAATACTACCAAGAATCTTCTCTCATTGTATTGCTCCATCTACACATAAATCTGTGAAGTAATGTAATAAAAGTTTTAAAAAAATGTGAAGGAACCTTTTCACTTGTTTTGGACCTGTATTTTATGAACTCGCCGGCACTTGATGGGTAGATGGTCAAAAACTCTGTAGTATAAGGTAGTTTTTGAAAATAAAATTGCCCCCAGTGTAGATGTGAACCATCTACCTTCAGGTCAGCTGGCAAGTGTCTGGCTGCTATGTTACAGTGCTTCCCAGTACTGTAAGCTAGATAAATAAACATCTGTCAGTAATTAGATTATCAGAATCTTGTGGACATGATATGAGTAGGAATAAACTTGAAACTGTGACAGCTAGCAAGTGTGATTGAATGTTAAAAGTTGTTTAATACTGAATTAGGAATCAACATCACAACTCTCTGGACATTCCAATAAGTGTTCCATCCCCATCTTCAGCAGCAAGCAAAGAGTTCCAATTACAGTGGTACCAGTAACAGTCTGCATGAGTCTCCATCTCACCTTTTTGTTGAGTGTCGGCCACATCACCTTGTAGGTCCTCACAGCAGCATTCTCCCCAGACCAGGCTGATCTGTGTGTTGTGTGCCTTTGCACTGTTTACTCACTCCGAAAGGATCTTGCAGCATTTAGCTTGTCATGCATCAATTCACCACCAAGTGGTGCAGAATGAGCCTGTCTTATCTGTCTGTTCATTTCCCATCACACTGGCATGACTAGAAGAACCAGCCACCTGGTATCTGTCAAGTGATGGTTGTCACTCTGCACACACTGTACCTGTATTCACAAAACTATCACAGATGTATGATTTCTCACTATTTGTATTTGATACTGTTTGATTTCCCTTGCTTACTATTGGCTTGTAGTTTTTTCTCCCCTTTCCTTTTTATTAAAAAATGTCTGTGTTTTATAATTCACGTTTTTAGTGTGATGGATTGATGTTGATTGATTCACTGTTTCTCTGTGCAGTCTGCATTTTGAGAGTATATGTGCGTGTGGTGTTTATTTGTGTGCATTTTATTGGTTTTATTTATGTTTCTCTGTGTATCTGGTATACGTAAAAAGTTCTAAAGAAATCGTAATGTAGAGCTGTAATATACATAAAACAGTACAGTATGTGTGACGCAATCATATAGATAACCTTATACATGTGACTTAAACATACAGATAAGTGTACAGTATATGTGACTCAGGAATGTGTAGACTTTGAAACATGAAATTAATTTTAAATATGAATGTATATTTTCATTATAAAATCTTTATATAATATTATTTACTGTTTGCCATAAATTTGAATACACTGTGATCAGTCTATGATAAAAAAAATAAAACACACAAAACTTCAATCAATCTAAATTCTTTTAGACTTTTGGCTTTTACCTGAATTTTGCCGTCCCCTGTCCTGACGGCCAGATATACTCCGACTCATTTGCTATTGTTCTAAACATATCTGCTCAAGATTTGTTTTATTCTCATATGTTTGTTTTTTTCTAATCATGTATCCTCAAGATTTCATTCCACCCCCCCCCCTCCCCCGCCCCTCACCCTTTTAATTGCCATTGTTCTAGTCATGTCTACATAATGTCAGTTCTGTGTTTCACTGGTGTGGTGCTGTATTTGAGAGCTCATTAAGACTTTCAAGTAACGGGAAGTCAGGTTTTAATTGTTCCTCTAACACATTGATTACACACTTTTACTGAACCCTATGTGATCCCTACTACTACCTCATCTACTGCCTGTTGTCAGCAGTCTGAGGCATGTGATCCCTACTACTATCTCATTAACTGCCTGTTGTCAGCAGTCTGAGGCATGTGATCCCTACTACTGTCTCATTAACTGCCTGTTGTCAGCAGTCTGAGGCATGTGATCCCTACTACTGTCTTATCCACTGCCTGTTGTCAGCAGTCTGAGGCATGTGATCCCTACTACTGCTTCATCCACTACCTATTGTCAGCAGTCTGAGGCATGTGATCCCTACTACTATCTCATCCACTGCCTGTTGTCAGCAGTCTGAGGCATGTGATCCCTACTACTGCCTCATCCACTGCCTGTTGTCAGCAGTCTGAGGCATGTGATCCCTACTACTGCTTCATCCACTGCCTGTTGTCAGCAGTCTGAGGCATGTGATCCCTACTACTGCTTCATCCACTGCCTGTTGTCAGCAGTCTGAGGCATGTGATCCCTACTACTGCTTCATCCACTGCCTGTTGTCAGCAGTCTGAGGCATGTGATCCCTACTACTGCTTCATCCACTGCCTGTTGTCAGCAGTCTGAGGCATGTGATCCCTACTACTGCCTCATCCATTGCCTGTTGTCAGCAGTCTGAGGCTTGTTCCATCAAATAACCAATGTCTGCAAGCTCATCTTCTGTCTTTCATTTCACACTGGAAATAGGCCCTTCCAAGAAGACAAAGAAAAATTGCCAATTACAACTTTACATGCAGACAGGTAGCAGTTATCAGTTACTACTACACCAGTAGATATGCAAGAATTTTCAAAAGTGCCTGTTTTACAAGTAAACAAGCAACAATTGTCAGTTACTACTTTACAAGCAGTCATGCAACAGTTTCCACTTACTACTTTACAAGCAGACGCACAACAGTTTCCACTTACTACTTTACAAGCAGACATGCAACAGTTGTCAGTTACTACTTTACAAGCAGACATGTAACACTTGTCAGCTACTACTTTACAAGCAGACATGCAACAGCTTCCACTTACTACTTTACAAGCAGACACTCAACAATTTCCACTTACTACTTTACAAGCAGACATGCAACAGTTGTCAGTTACTACTTTACGAGCAGACATGAAACACTTGTCAGCTACTACTTTACAAGCAGACATGCAACAGCTTCCACTTACTACTTTACAAGCAGACATCCCACAGTTGTCACTTAACTAATTTACAAGCAGACATGCAACAGTTGTCAGCTACTAATTTACAAGCAAACATGCAACAGTTGTCAGCTACTACTTTACAAGCAGACATGCAACAGTTGTCAGTTACTACTTTACAAGCAGACATGCAACAGTTGTCAGTTACTACTTTACAAGCAGACATGCAACAGTTGTCAGCTACTAATTTACAAGCAGACATGCAACAGTTGTCAGTTACTAATTTTCAAGCAGACATGCAACAGTTGTCAGCTACTAATTTACAAGCAGACATGCAACAGTTGTCAGTTACTAATTTACAAGCAGACATGCAACAGTTGTCAGTTACTACTTTACAAGCAGACTTGCAACAGTTGTCAGTTACTAATTTACAAGCAGACATGCAACAGTTGTCAGTTACTACTTTACCAGCAGACTTGCAACAGTTGTCAGTTACTAATTTACAAGCAGACATGCAACAGTTGTCAGCTACTAATTTACAAGCAGACATGCAACAGTGGTCAGTTACTACTTTACAAGAGACATGCAACAGTTATTAGTTACATTTTTTACCAGCAGACATTCAATAGTTATCTTACTTATTTACAAATAGAAATGCTACAGTTACTAGCTATTACTTTACAGACAGACATAGCACAGTTATATTTCTACATTTAAAGCAGAAATACAACAGTTATCAATTACATGCATCAACTATCACTTACCACTTGAGAAATAGAAATGTACCAGCTATTACAACTAAATTTACAAGTAGGCACACTAGAACTATAGAATTACTACTTACTTTGCAAACAGACAGTCATAGCTTATCGCTCATTCACCTATCTTCTGACATCCCCCTATAAGTTTCTGGAAAATCCTATATTATATTGGTGTTCACAGTTTTGTGTAGTATTTTCACTGCTTATTTTTGTTGTGTGAAGATGTTTTGGTGTATTGTACTTTATGTCTGTAGATTGCGCTTGCATGAGCATATGTGTTCTGAATGTGCATGCTTTTTTCAGCTACTCCTGAAACTCCACACTTTAAAACAACCCTGACAACTACGACTTCCATTCAGCCACAAATGCCATTGAGTAAGTACTTAATATAGTCATCCAACCTACAGTGAATTGCCAAATAAATTTGTGTGTTTTTCCCCCAGAGGATTAGACCAAGAGTTTATACTTATAATGGTCTGCTATCCATGTTTTCTTTCTCTGACACTGTTTCAATTGTAGCGTCCCTCTAAGTTTTTATATCTAGCTTCCCCTTCGTTTTATGCCCTGTGTATAATTAATTTCCGGTATACAGTTTCTAATTTTATTCATACCTTTTATATTTTCATGATTCCCAGTTCTTTTGTCTTGATATTAATTTGTGTTTTTATTGACTAAAATGTCACAAATGTTTACCACCGTAAATTGATAGTTGAATTCAAGACTGGGGATTGAGAACTTTGCCCATGTGGACAGGCACCACAGAAAACTGAAACTGAACATGTGCTACAAACATGCTCTCTATATGCAGTGGAGAGAGTCCTGGTTTGGCATTCAAATGGAAACAAAACTGTGTGAAGCAGTGGAAGACATATGTCACACCACAGACTTCATGGAGGCTTGTGGCCTTGTAAAAACCACTGGCAGGGAGAATGAAAGTAAGAAGAACTGATAGTTCATGTCAGCAACGAAAAGTAACACTGTACTACTAAGTCAAGCTTGTTGTAAACTTCAAATAAGGAGTGTTGGAATAGGACTGGCTACCTAATGTCTTAGAAAACTTATCTTCAGTCTAACCAAAAATATTGAACAGGTATACACACACACAAAGGCTTTCCATCAGTTTGTTTCAGGCCTGTGCTCCAATAGGAGAAAAGTGGCTGAAGAATAAGAAACTGACATTTATCTGCTGGCTGAACTCACCTTGCTACACATTTACAACCTTTTTTTTTTTTTTTTGAAGCCTGTAAATTCAGATTGCTTTTTGTTTCAACTTGTGTTGTTGCTTTTCACTATCCATTGTCTGCTGTTTTCATTTTTGATAAATCCAACAATTTGTCGTAAAAGAAAATGTTCATCAGTTTATAAAGTTTATTTTTTAGTATACATATATTCCTTTGCTGGGTCAACCAAAACTGTGTAGATATGTAGTAGACTGCCTGTCACAACTAGGACATCCAGCACACCACTGTATTGGCAAGCAGTGACACTAACCACTGATACACCGTGGGTCCCATTGTGAGATAAGGAACTCTGTTTGCAGTGTACTACTGTTGCTTTTTATGTAACTGCTGCAGCTGTTGGTCATGTTTAGTCATCATGTCAGTGTGCTTCTCTGGGCCAGTGGCTCCCAGACTGTTTTGAGATGCTTCAAAGGCTACACTTCTAGTTCATCCATACAGAAACACATGGATATACACAACTCTTTCTTGTTAAGTAGCTTAATTTAAAACCTCACCACCTACATTAACTCTTTCAGTAAAACCTAATGTTACTTTAGCTGATTCTATTCTAAAAGAATGCTACTTTAACTGATAAGTGTTGGTACTGATAAGTTACCATAAAAATAAAATGGATTAAAACTGCCATTTGGGTAGAGTGATGTAATGCAACAACTAGATGGCTCACAAAGAGGTAATGGCTAGAATGGTGTAATAGAACAACTGGATGGCTCACAAGGAGTTAATGGCTAGAATGGTGTAATGGAATAACTGGATGGCTCACAAGGAGTTAATGGGTAGAGTGGTTTAGTGCACCAACTGGATGGCTCACAAGGAGTTATTGAGTAGCTTAGTGCAATGGAACAACTGGTTGGCTCACAAGGAGTTATTGAGTAGTGTAGTGTAATGGACAAACTGGATGCAGCAACTGGGTGGCTTACAATGAGTTATTGAGTAGCGTAGTGTAATGCAACAACTGGATGGCTGACAAGGAGTTAATGGGTAGAGTAGTGTAATGCAACAACTGGATGGCTCATAAGCAGTTAATGGGTAGAGTAGTGTTATGCAACAATGGGATGGCTTTTAAGGAGTTAATGAGTAGATTGGTGTAATGCAATAATGGGATGGCTCACAAGGAGTTAATTAGCACAGTTGTGTAATGGAACAACTGATGCAGTAACTGGATGTTTGACAAGGAGTTAATGGGCAAAGTAGTAGTGTAATGGAACAACTGGATGCAGTAACTGGATGTCTGACAAGGAGTTAATGGGCAGAGTAGTGTAATGGAACAACTGGATGGCTCACAAGGAGTTAATGGATAGAGTGGTGTGATGGAACAACTGGATGGCTCACAAAGAGTTAATGGATAAAGTGGTGTAATGGAACAACTGGATGGCTCACAAGGAGTTAATGGATAGAGTGGTGTGATGGAACAACTGGATGGCTCACAAAGAGTTAATGGATAAAGTGGTGTAATGGAACAACTGGATGGCTGACAAGGAGTTAATGGGTAGAATGGTGTAATGAAACAGCTGGATGACTCACAAGAAGTTAATGCTCCTTTACTTGTTTATTTCCCCACCATATTCATAATTTAAACTGTTTGACAATGTTTCCTAAGTTTTCTATATATATATACATTCCTGTGGTGTAGCACATGCAAGCAAGTGGCAACTTATGAATGTGAGTCATGGACTCACTCGGTTTTGAAAGAGCCTTTGAACTCAAAGGCTACAGAAAAATTCTGTGAATACTGTGAACCAAGAAGATGAAAAATGTTGACATCCTGCATAACCTGAACAGCAAGGAGAACTTTCTAATAAACAGCATCCTCTCCTGAAAGCTGACATATTTTAGACATGTGGAGCACAATTGTAGTCTGGAGAGAACGGTGAAGATGGATGCAGTGTCCAGAAAATGAGGCAGAGACTGACCTCAGCAAAGATGGATACAGGACATTGAAGATGCATTAAATCACACAGGGCTGGAGAATTGACTACAGAAGAAGAGACTTCAGGTGTCTCATGAACAGAGTGATAGTCTTTAAAGGACCTGCTGTTTGATTATGATTGATTGATATATTGATTATGATTGATTGATATATTGATTATGATTGATTGATATATTCAGCAGAATTTACATAATTTTTTAGAATATTCAAGACAAAAAACTGGAGGCTGGGAATGTGTTTATGTCACTGAATGAAGAAATTTTCTTCTTTTACCAAGGATTTAAACCCAGCTCTTCTAAATGAGAGCTCAGCTCTTTGTCTGGCTATTTGCTCCTAAGTTTGAGTATAAACTTATAAACTCTGCAGTAAAAGACATGTTGTTTTAGGATATTTAATTTTGTATTGTATTTGCTTTTTTGTGTATCAACTGAATCGAATATATAACAGTCAGTCAAGCCTAAGAGTATATTACCTTTCAGAGATAATTTGTTTTGAGAGTTCTTCAAGTATGTTATCTGTGTCACAATGTTGTTAGGTAAGAATATTTTCAGTCTGTCAACAACACAAAAAAACGGGAAAAAAACAACTATTCATGTCAGTTGAGCAAATGGCACATGGGGCTAGATCTGTTTTTCAAAGACAAATGCAGGAAAGCAAAGTTTTATAGCATAAGACAATCCTGATCAGCACAGAAAACATCTCATTTAAATTTAAAAAAAAAATATTTGTTCCCACCGTGTGTACCAGTGCAGGCATGGTAACTCATAAATAAATAAAAAAAAGAAGGGGAAAACAACAGTAACCATGGAAATGATATTTCTGAGAAAGGCTGCAGGAGCGACCAGAAGAGATAAAACCAGGAATGAAATCAAAAGAGAAAAAGTCAGCATATAACTAATTCTAAATTGCCTGCCGAGACAGCAAATCAAATGGTTAACACTGTCGACTTTGCAGCCATAAGAACACTAAATTTAAAATTGGTGAATCAGCCATGTGTACAAGTGGGTTAGTACCTGAGACAACAGACTACGTCCTCCAAGACTCTCCCAGGTAAAACATATCAAAACAACACAAAAATTAAGATGTATTATAATAATATTAAGGAATGGGTTCTCGTGGCTTTGTCATATCAGTGAAACATTGAAATGATTACTAGAAGAAAGACAAAATAATGGGAGAGAGTGGGAAAATCACGGAAAACATTTCGAAAACCAGCATGCAGATGTGTATCAATGCAGATATAACTATAAGAAAATTCAAAAGTACAAGTTGGACAACAATGCTGTAAAATGATCAGAAGCTATATTTGAACTGTTTACAGTCATGGCTGGCCCTAGAGCTGAAATACATTAATGACGATGGTGTGCTGTAAAAAGCTGTTTTCATATGATGATTACGAAAATGGGTTCACATAATTTCTGTAGAAATATATAATCTTATGTATTGATTACAAGAAATGGCACCAGCAGAACAACTGAGTAATCATTTCAGGAAAATTTGCTCATCTGGTTTTAGCCAGACAAATCCTTAATACAGTGCATATGTTATGTTTGCTTGGCTTTGTTTGCAGTCATTTGAGTGACAAGCATTTATTTACATTTCATCTGCTTTGCTTGAACTTATTATAAACATCCTGTCCCACATCAGCATGGAGATAAGGATTTAGGGGTAAATATAATTTATGGAGCTAGGATTTAGAGGAACAATTTTATAACAAAACATGCATTGTTGCGCAACCTTTACAGGATGTTTAAGCACAGTAATTTTTTAGACCAACCACATGGGTTTATTCATGTAATAAAATCATAATGGGTCAGATTTAAAAAAATCTAATAACACTTAGACCCATCAGTTACAGTTATTACTAGCATACATACACTTTGTCTCTGTAGATTTCAAAATTCCTAGAATGTCTTCCATGTGTCAGATGATTGTTCAAATAAATTCCAACCATGTATTAGTCCAGATATATTTTCCTTATAATGTCTGTAATGGATCAGATTACAAATATTACCAGGCCACTTTCCGCTGACAGTTGTTCTGTATTGTAGTGCAGAAGTATAAATAATTTTTTTTTTTTTTAATGTTTATCCTGTTGCCTTTCAGTTCCACTAACAATTAAAAAACTTAAACTTTCCTAGATGGATCTCCAAGACCACCTCACATTACCTCAGCCACAGCTCTCGACTCCAGCAGGATTGAGGTCTTGTGGGAGCAGGCTGTGCCCCCAAACCCTATTCTCACAACAGCTGTATACTACAAGCAGATAGGTAATGGAAGCTCTGTTGGGCATAAGTAGCAAGTACTGTGGCTGTTATCATTGTGTACAGCATGAACAGACTTAGACTGATTCACATTGGTCTGATAAGGATATGATCTATATTTTTACTGCTATATATACTATTTTCTCTTTTAACTTGGACACGTTTCTAACCACCTAGAACATTTTTCAAATCTAACTGGACATTTTTCAAATCTAACTGGACATTTTTCAAATCTAACTGGACATTTTTCAAATCAAATAGCACGATTTTCAAACCACCTAGGACATTTTTCAGAATAAACTGAACAATTTTTTTTTAAACCACATAGGAAGTTTTTCAAACCAAACGGGATGATTTTCAAACCACCTAGGACATTTTTCAGAATAAACTGAACAATTTTTTTTAAAACCATATAGGAAGTTTTTCAAACCAAACGGGATGATTTTCAAACCACCTAGGACATTTTTCAGAATAAACTGAACAATTTTTTTTAAAACCATATAGGAAGTTTTTCAAACCAAACGGGATGATTTTCAAACCACCTAGGACTTTTTTTCAAAACAAACTGGATGAAAAATTCTGCACATTTGTGGAAGAGCTTGTGGTGCGTACAGGTAGCAGGGAGGAGACAGTGCTAGAATCCACAAACCAAAAGACTTATGGAGAATCCTGGGCCGTCCTATCATCTAAAATTCCTGTCATCTTACTCCTACATGCTGAACCCAACAGAAAACTTGTTCTACAAGATGAAGGCGTCGGCATAGCGCCTGCTAAGCAACCTTAGGCCCGACCGGACACTAAGCAGGGTCATTAAAGACAGCATTGGAACAGTAACACAGCAAGACTGCACAAATTACTTCCTCCATATGATGATGAACTAGTGACAGGACAGCAGGACAGCCTTTCATAAACTGATTCTCGTCTTGTTAGATGTGATTTTCTTTGTCACAATACATTACTTTCTTGGTTATTTATTGTTGAAAACAATTTATGTCCAGTTTTGCTTTGAAAAGTGTCCAGTTTAATTTGAGTTAAGTTGAGTCAAGAATTGACATCACAGCACTCAGGGCATTCCCATGCATGCTCCATCCTCATCTTCAGCAGCAAGCACAGAGTTCCAATACTGATGGTACCGGTCACAAACTGGTTAAAAGTCCGTCTTGCCTTTCCTCTGAGTCTAGTGAGCCAGCCAGACCCTCTGGTTACACCCAGTTGCCTCACTCTCTCCAGGCCATAATAATCTTCTTTCTCTGCTGATTTCATTGCTTGTTCCCAAAGAGCCTTGACTACATCTGCCTTGTCATGTATCAATTCACCACCCATTGGTGGGGATCCAGCCAATCTGGCTTGCCTGGAGAAAAGATCCAAAGTATGCTCACCACCCGTGATCTTTCCAGTGAAGCTAGCCACTCTGCTAGAAGCATCCCTGTCTTCACCTTTTTCAGCATGCTTTCAGAGTCTGTTACAATTATGACATGTGTATGCATCTTGTTCTCTAGCCACTGAAGAGCTGCAGTTACTCCCTCCACCTTTATTCTCATGCTAAATGTTGTGGTGTCATATGCTAGGCTGTCTTGCACTAACAATTTTCCCTTGGCTTTCGCTACGAACCCGCAGGTACTTTTCTTTCCTCTCAACACTGAACCATCTGAATAGATAATCCGATCACCTTGGCGTGAATTGTCATGAATCAGATGTTGGCCACCCTCTGCAGACCCGGCCTTATGTTATCATAACCCTACACAGGTCAGACTTTTTCCGCTGGTACTCTGACCCACTCTTGTGTCTTCTGCTTGAGCCATCCACGATTTTCCCCTTTTCAGTCTCTGACCCTTGTCTGCAGCCACAATTTCATACAGAGGGTGTTCCCTGTCTGCAGCTACTCTGAGGTATGACTTAGCCTGCATCACCTTTAGCCTATCTGCAATAGTCGGCAATGCAAGGATGTAGTTTGATTTGAATAACACGCGCGCTCGTGTGTGTGTGTGCGTGCGCGTGCGTGCGTGCGTGTGTGTGTGTGTGTATATATATATAAAAATATAAAACATCAGTATCCACTGCTGCCATCATGTGTTGTGGGGAGGAACAGTTTGTGATTCATTGCTTGATGGGCAGCAATAACTATTGTCATTCCATGTTGATATAGAAGCTCTTTAATGTCATCAATGATGCACTTATAAACCGACTGATGCCATCATGAGGACATCCAATCATAAGTTTGACCACCAGTAAACAGATTGCAAACAGCATATTCATACCAATGCCCTGCTGTCAGTGCCAAACTTGGACATTATCAAAGGCTAACCTTTGTAAAATCTCCTGTAGAATAAGTTTTCTTAGGAAATTTGCCAGATTTCTGATCATATTGGTTACTTTGCTGAAGGCTCCTATTGTTGTTTATTTAGCCTCTCTACATTGCCACTTTATCCAGAAGTATTTATATTCTAATTACACTTTTTGCATTTTCAGCCCTAGAGAATGAACCCAAATTTGATTATGCCAACACAGTCGGCTCCCATATCATTCACAAATTGGAACCTAATTCAACCTACATCATCTTCTTGAAAAGCTTCAACATCCATGGTCCAAGCATGACATCCAACACTGTGAATGCAACTACACTGTCAATAGGTAGGCATTTAGTTCCTGCAACTACACAGCAGATAGGTAGGCATTTAGTACCTGCAACTACACAGCAGATAGGTAGTCATATAGTTCCTGCAACTTAAGTAAGTAGGTATTCATTTAGTTCTTGTGACTACACTGCTAATAGGTAGGATTTAGTTCTTTTGACTGCACTGCTAATAGGTAGGCATTTAGTTCCTGTGACTACACTGCTAATAGGTAGGATTTAGTTCTTTTGACTTCACTGCTAATAGGTAGGCATTTAGTTCCTGTGACTACACTGCTAATAGGTAGGCATTTAGTTCCTTTAACTACATGTCCATAGGCATGAATTTAGTTGCTTGCTTTCCAAGTGTGAAAAATCCCAGCCTTCACCAGGGTTTGAACACAGGACCTCCAACACTTGAGGCGGATGCCAAACCTCAAGTCCACGCAGCACCCTTAATGGTAAAAATTTTAAATTAAATATCTACCCAAAGTATTTCAGGATCTTCGCCGGTGCAGTAGAGCTGGTGTACTGAGCTGAGATACTTCTAACTCAGGTCTGAGTTGGAAGTATAACAGAGCACTTATGGGTGACACCCGTGTGATCAGTCGACTGAACTAAACTAAACTAAACTAAACAAGATCCTGTGTCTGTATTTTTGCTATGTACTTCTCTTGTCCTAAAACTGTCTTAATTGATCTGTTCTAATAAAACAGTGAAGGATCCTGTTTATGCTAATGGTGCATCAGACATGTGGCTAGAGTCATATTTTCTCAGGCTAATTGGTACTTATTGAATGTTGGAGTCAACAGCACTGACCACTTTTACTTCCCAGGACATTTTGTGGAATCTTTCTTTGGGCTGGGTAGACTTAACCTGTGAGTTTGTTTTTGTGTCTGTCATCATCATCAATTTCCACTTTTGCCATTAAGTGGGGTGGGGAGGAACAGTTTGCGGTTTTTCACTCGATGAGTAACAATGGCTATTGTTATTCCATATCATTGAAGAAGGTCTTTAAAATGATCAGTCCATCTTCTCCTAGGACCACCTCTTTTTGTGTGTAGTGCCTGTGTTGGTAGTTATTATGGCTACATTCTTATGAGATGACCAAACCATTTTATCTTCAGTTTTTCAATGAACTTGGTGCATGATGTTATTCCTACAGTCTGTCTAATTGTGTCATTTATCACTTTGTCTTGGATGGTCAAGTTGGCAGCTTTTCTCTGGCATCTTATTTCACAGGAGTTAATTTTACATAGGTTAGCTAGCTTTGATCATGACCAAATTTGGCACTGTTAGCCCATTATTTGTATGAATGTGCTGTTTATATTCTGTTTCTTGGTGGTCATAACTAATGGGGGTTTTTCTTTGTGTAGTCTAAAATATTGTGTATGAAATGTTAATAACTTATACTCTCATTCAAGTCATGTGACATCTTTATTTACAGAAGGAAATCACATTAAGCTTACCAGTGAGAGAGCGGGCTTAGCTAACCCCGGCTTGCTGCATGCTACAACAAAGACCCCTTTGCACTCTACAAGTTCACGTGCAACCACAATTCCAACAACATCCACAGTGCAGACTACAACACAAGAAGCAGAGCTGCCACCATCACATATAGAGCCACCAGTGGATGTTTACTCATCAATGATTCCAGAAGTGCATGTTGGTGTAGATGATGATGATGATGGTGATGCTGCTGGTGGTGGTGAATATGAAGATGATGAAAGTATCAATGGAGTTGTGGACAAATTCTGTGAGCAAAGAAGCTTTAAAGGAATTGCATGGCCTCAAACCCGGATTGGGAAAACTGTGGAGAGTAACTGTCCTGATAGTTTTAGAGGTAATGATGTGTGCCTGTGAACCAGCTTAATGCCCTTCATGTTGTTGTTGTTGAAATGTGATGTCTTGTTGAAATGTGTTGTCTTGTTCAAATGTGTTGTCTTGTTCAAATGTGTTTGTTGTCTTATCCAATTGTGTTGTTTTTCTTTAATCATTGTTGCAGGAATTTTCTAGAAGCTCAGATGTTGTTAAATATCTTTTTATGATCACCATTGCTAGAATTCTTTAGAAGCTTAGATGTTGTTGCAGGACTCCTTAAAATGTCCCACATTTCCAGGAGGGTTCAATACTGTCTTTGATATCTAATGAACAAATAAATGGCCTCACTAAAATTAGATCACACTTTCAAGTATCCTAGGATAACTTGAACTCATTCTTTTTTTGTTTCTTCTGTTACTCTCCTTCCAACATTTTCTCATCTTTCTCCTCTTCTTACCCCACCTCTTCATGCTCCTTCTTCTTGAACTTCTTCTTCTTCTCTTTTCCCTCCTATACTCTTTATGCACTTTATACGTTTCTGATCTTATACCGGCATCCTCAGAGCTTATGCATTTGTAAATTTTCTGCACTGAACTTCATAAAAACATCTGTTTTTTTTAATAAAATATGTTTTCATTGCAGATCCTGCTTTTTATTTTTAGCCGAGTTGTTTTTCTAAAGTGACTCCTGATTTAAATTTAAATAAAAACACACACAACGAGACGCACACCAGCTACGCCAGAAGACTTGTTAATCAACATAGAACTGGTACTATTAGCCATCGGACGTTGGGGTTCATACTGAGGGGAGGATCTGAGCACCTATGGACATGTCCGGAGTGCAATGAGGATAACCCAACTAACTAACTAACTAACACACAAAAATTTTATCATCGCTGTTTTTCATTATACTATGCTTTATGTGGCTAGCACTAGACTAATTCTATTTGTATTATGCATTGTGTTTCATGTGTTGGTTGTTTTCAGCATGTTTATTTTTTAATGCATCATCATTTCCGTTGTGTGCTACATTCATAAATTCATAGCCATCACTGAGCCCTGTTTGCAAGCAGTGTTCTTACTTCATAACTTCACCTTCACCATGAATTTGCTTGACCTGTCAGCATTCATACATCTAACCCTAACCGACCAGTTTGCATGCATGGAGACTATCACTGCTTTTCAGGGCCCTCCACCATCGACACCCCAAGATGGCCCCTTTCAGGGCTGTCCCCAAAATATCCCCAATTCGCATTACACTGCCTAACTTCTGCCCAAGAGAAACATCAATTCAAGCCACACTTTGGCGGGTCACGAAGTGAATTACAAAATACAGTGAAATTCATACTAGAGACGACATTGCAGATACAGATAATTTATTTCGGGCGAACAAAAGAAGAAAATGAAGAAGAAACTAACCCTACCCCTAGCCACCCTTTACTATAGGACCATCCAGGCAACTACCTAAAATTCCTTACCAAATCTTGCAGCCGATGAGATGGGGTGAAAAGGCTGAAAAGTACCTATTTTTGTCTTGAAAACTGTTCATCTATGTTACAGGCCTAGTGAGGTGGCGCTGTTTGGACTATGGCTGGGAAAAACCAGGTCCAGATTTCCTAGACTGTACTTCTGCCTGGCTAGAGAAGATGGACACCAGAATCAATAAAGTGGTAAGTCTTATTTTTGAAAACCATTTTGTCTTCTTACATGCGTTCATGTAAGTTTAGGGTAACCAAACACACAAGTAGACCTTTCACACAGTTGGCATATTTTTATAGACCAACCTGCCTTCAGTGGGGGATGTTATCAAAATCATGCTGGTCACTTGTACTTTGCAAGAAATGTCATGGTACCCACTGTATGCTGTGTCAACGCTTCTGTCTCAGTTCACTTGAAGATCTTTGGATCAGCAGCAGGGAAGAACACCTTGCACCAAATTCATTGGGAAACAGAAAATAAATTGTGTGGTTATCTTATTAGTATGCAGTCACAACAGTTACTTGTGCAGGCACTACACCTAGAAAATCCTAATTTCAGAGCAACAGGACATCCATGGAGGGAAGAACTGATGACATTAAAGACGTTGTACACTGGTATGAGATGACAGTGACCAGTGCCACTCATTAGGCATGGACCTCTAACTGTTAAAAAGTGGAAGATGAAGATGATGACAGATTCAGTAGTTATTATGATGTTTTTATTGTAACTGTAATATTATTAAAACCAGAGTATAAAATCCTGGGTTTTACGGTTAATATTTTCTTCTTCCTCTTCTTCTTCTCCTCCTTTTTGTTTTTCTTCTTCTTCTGTTCTTTTTTAGCATTCCAAGCCCTTGAGGTTCGTGCTGCAGATACCACCTACCTCCATTCATTTCTCACTGATATACCTTCTGTGTCCAGTAGATGACTGGTGTTTGTAGGCCTGCATGTACATTATCTCCACTGTTTTCTTGATTTGTCTTATAGTCTATTTTTTTTTTAATGTATGCATTTTTTCCCTCTCTGTTATTTGCCATTCTCTTTTTATGTCCCAATCCTTGCAGTCTAGTAGCCTTTATGATGCCAGTGACTAGTGATGACTTATAACTGGTGTTTTGCAGCTCACTCTCCATTACCCACTGAATGCAGTTTTATATACAATACTGGTCTAATTTTCTGTTGTAATTGTCAGGTAAACTGAATTTCAAAAATGATCATTTTAGATGAGAGGGGAAGAGCCGGCCGATGAGGCAGCTGTAGCCCTGAATGAGGTCATGGCAGGTCAGCATTTTACCCCTGGAGATGTCAGGAAGTTATCCCTGAAGCTGTTGCCCAAACTTGCCAGAGGCTTTCAGAGGGATGACCCAATGGCACCCAAGCCAACTAAAATAAACAAAATGAAGAAATTCAAGAAGGTATGTGAAAATTGTATTATTACTTGTCACCTTTTGCTTGATGTTAGTCTTCTTCTTATAGTCCACATGCCACATCTTACACTCATTTCAGATACAGTTTCTCAATGCCATGACACCAAACTGTCCAGTGTCTTCTGCCTTGGTCTCCCTCTGCATCTTTCCTCTCTAACTTTCCTGTTGTTATGGCATACTCCAGTTGTTTCCTTCTCATGATGTCGCCAGAGAATGTAAGCAACTGATAGTGATTGTATTATTAAATCTGGCATGTGTGTTTGAGCTGAATTCTGACAGCATGTATGTTATTTGCAAAGCATATATTCTGATATCTTCTTACTGGGAGGTGGTTGATATCAACTTGACAAAGACTGGGCAAATAAGTCATGGGAAGGACTCTTTTCATGCAATAGGCACATCAAGCATATGGTAAAGTAAAGGACCTTTTTCCACATCTTCAGGCATATAGGGCTAGACCTATATTATTCTAGACCTCTTGGTGCAAGATGGGTGAAGTAGTAAACATTGGCACAGTTGAAAAAAATATTTATTGTTCTGTGATTGCAAAATTCTCTCTCACGTGCATTTCTTTTTCTAAGTATTCTTCTTCTTCTTCTTCTTCTTCTTCGTCTTCTTAATCATCTTGTTCACCGGCTATACATTCTGGCATAAAGTTCTATTTGTTCTTCCACTTCTGGACTTTGGTCTTGTTTTGTGTGCAAATTGTTTTTACAGATCTGGCTTATTTGTCTGCAGACAGTTGGTTCTCCGCTTCTCAGGCAGGTGTACATTCCAACTTTGAAGGAAACACCCTAGTTAACTTTTACATGTTTGTTGTGGAAAGGGGGGGGGGGGGGGTGCAGTAGATCTGCTATTTTGTCTCTCACAATGGGGCCCTGGTACCACTGAGTTGTACTGAGCTGAACTTTATGTAACATAAAAACATCTATGAGAGTTGTAGTGGATAGTGCAGTTGTGTAATGCTTATTGGTTGTTCAGAAAGTCATGGTTTGAATCTATATTTGTTAAAATTAACTAGGACATTCAGGTCTCTAAAAATAGGACTGTTACTGGTACCATTGGAGTTAGAACTTTGTGCTTGCTGCTGAGGACGAGGATGGGCTGCTCATGGGATTGTCTAGAGTGCTATGATGTTAATTCTTAGTTAAACCTTAAATATTAAAAAGATGAGTGTAGCATCATGTGGTCAGTTGTGTATAAAATGGCATGAAGGATGTCCTTGACTTTTTATGTGTAGCATAACACCATTCTGGGTTCACATGGTAGTCCAAACAGTTATTCATATTATGAAAGACTGTCAGGCCCACACAGCTTTATAAACTGTCATAGGACAGGAGGGACAGTGATGAAGAAAACTGTTCACTTCATCTTGTAATGCCACATCCTGGTATAAGTGATATGGTATATGGGAAAGGAACAAGCAGATGGAAATGCCACTTGTGGTAAAGTATTGTATATTATAAGCTATATGTGGTCAGGCTCTTTGGGAGTGAGTAAACAGTGCAGAAGCACAAACATATCACTGTCTGGAGGGATGCTCAACACTTGGAGAAAAGGCAAGATGCTCATTCAATCAGACTGCAACTGGTACCATTGGAATTGGAACTGTTCGCTGGCTGCTGAAGATGAGGATAGAGTGCCTAATTATCCCAAATGCTGTAATATCAGTTATTACCATAACCTTCTTCTTCTCTTCCACCTTGTACCGCACTGAAGTACAAGGGAGCTGTAACTTTCATTGATAAACTCTGTCAAAAGCACTATTAAGACTGATGTTCACTTCTGTAAGGCTGTCCTAATGCCATCACTCCATCTTTTCCAAGGCCTTTCACTCGCTCTATACCCGTTGTAACGTTTTAGTGTGGCTCAATATGGCAGATAATACCAGGGCATTCTTGTTAGCTGTCCAAACCACATCATTTATTGTTCTTTGATGACCTGTAAGACTGGCTTTATTCCTAGCATTCTTCTGATTTCCTGATTTCTTATTCTATCTTACCTTGAAGCTCTTATAGCTCTTCTAAGGCATTTCATCTCTGTTGTCACAATTTTACATTCATTGGAGGATGTAAGTGTCCACGTTTGGCACTGATAGCATAGTGTTGGCCAAAAAAAATTTTCTGATAAAATTCACTTTAGAACTCCATGGTATCTGCTTGTGTGTCAACAGGGGAGATAGTTGCCTCATAACTTGATTAGCTTTGGCACATCTCGAGCTTATTTCTCTGTCCAATTGTGAAAATTGCTCCAAAATACTTAAATTTCTCTGTTTGTCTTGAGATGTTGTTTTTTAATTTTATTTCTAAATTGTCTCTCTGTCTTCCTATTACCATTGTCTCTGTCTTTGTAGTCTTCATGTTATATTCCTCCTCTTTATTACTAATTTGATTTAGGTGATTCTGTAGGCATTCCGTACTTTTTGCTATGAGTACCTGGTTGTCGGCAAATAATAATTCTGTAGTATCTTCTTCATGATTAAAGTATAAAATGTGTTGACAATCCTGTCTTCGATCATGTGCAGCATTTACTACATGTGTACAGGCTTTTGAAAATATTAATGAGATAATTGCTGATTCCCTTTTTCACCATACACTCCCACAGCATAGTCCTGTCCTTATCATAACCAAATCCTGATAAATGTGTTATTTCATGACTTAAGCACCACTGTGGTATTTTCAGCTATGATATTAGCTTTTTTGACTGAAGTTTAATTATTTAAAAAACAATAAAAATAAGCAATATTGCTTTCGGCTTAGTTGACGTAAAGAACACAGAGCTGATCCATGATTTTGGTGATGGGTGAGATGCCAAACCAGGACTGCCTACATGTTAGTTAGTTAGCCTTTCCTCTTGAGCGTAAGTGGCGCATAGGGCAGAGGTTATAGCTCTTCATGTAGCAGTTCGTCTCCACCTGTTTTAGGTCTTGGATGTTGTCTTAAATGAATGGTACATACATGATATACAGCACCGCTAACTATCTGAAACTGAATGTTCGTTGAACATAAAAATTGTTATCCTTAAGTGAATTTATTTTCTTTCAACAACAGGCCTTTATGTCTACAAGCAGTGATCTGTTGTCCAAGCGAAATATTCAGTCATGGCGAAATTTATCTCATCAAGATCGAAGACGGGCAGCCACTTCCCTGTTTTTGTCCGTCGAAGATGTCGGTTTTCATGCCGGCAGACTGATTGATGCTGGGTCTTCTGAGCTGACAGTGGATGAGAATATAGGTAACTGTTGAAGAACAGTCGGCCACATGGGTTAAATGCAATATCTGCAACAAACCATAGATTAACCTTTGACCCTCCCTTCTTCCTGTTTTCCCCCTCTTGCCTGCTACCTGAAGGTTTCACCATGCTGAAATGTAAATATCTCAGTCTGGATGATAAGGCCAGCAGAGCAAATCACAGACATCCTGTTCAATCTTTAAAGAAGTTATAATTGTGCATCCATTGGGGCTACACCAGCCAGGTCCTGTGCTTGTAGTGAGTAATGTGATGTGTGGGCTGACATTTTGACCCTGAGAAACTACACTATCAGTACTGCCCTCCCTTACAAGTTCCAGCCAGAGATGCTGCTGTCTTGGTTTCATCACATTGGGCAGTCGTTAGAAACCAATGTGTATATATATATACACACACACACACACACATACATGTGTGTGGAGAGAGAGAGAGAGAGAGAATTGTCCCCCTCCATGATTGCAGTCTGTAGAATTAACATAGCAAGGATCAGAAAAAATGGGTACACATCCCAGAAACTCTGCACTTGTATAACACAAGTTATATTGTGGTACTATAATAGGGTTACAAAGTAATCTGCAGTTCATTACGGATAAGAACAGTCCAGTGTGCATAAGAATTTTAATCTTCATACCCTTTTTTTTCATTTTTGGTTTGGTTAGTTGTGTATCCTTCACAGGACGTTGCAGAGCCAACCCCAACAGCCCTCATCTGTTGTGTGGTTTTTCTAGGCAAATTTACGTCCAGTAGTTTGTCAGTTTTGTTACTGTTAGTAAATATTCAGTTTTGATGAACCAAATGTGATTATATTTAATGAAGGTAGCAACTGAATAATTGTTATTTATAATTATTTTTTTTTGGGTGGGGGAAAAGGGGGGGGGGGGGGGGGGATTAATGTCATCAGTGGTCACTTGTTGATAAATATTAAGTGGAGATAACTCAACAGAATGTATATATATATATATGCCAAGGGATTAAATCCATTTAAATCTTCTTTTTTTTCATTGTTCTTGATGAATACCCTTATTATAGGCCTTCCAAATCATTAGCAGTTAGGGAAATGTAACAAAAATATACATCCTTGCCTCAGTATTGAATGCTTGCTTTTCTCCTCAAACATCTTTGAGAGTTATAGTGGATAGTGCAGTGGTGTAATGCTTATTGCTTGGTCAGAAAGTCATGGTTTGAATCTATATTTGACCTAGGACATTCAGGTCTCAAAGTAATATAAATATTACTGATTACCATTGGAGTTGAAACTTTCTGCTTGCTGCCCCTATAAAAACCATGATTTTGACAAAAACTGACCTAGGCTCCCAAGTTCTTCTTGTCTCTTTCTCCAGTTTCTTCAGGAAAGAGTTGCAGAGTGGTGTGCTCTTTCTAATGTTTTGTGTAAATTGGTAAATTTTTCTAAGGTTCTTCTTGAGAAAACCAATTTTCTTGGTACTTTTTACAAAGGAAGTTATGGTCAGGAAAGGTTAAAGCATTTTCACGCAGCACTTTTGCTCTCAGTTGCAAGAAATGCAAGCATACTGAAACACTCATGTAGTACATACACAGTTTAAGGCAAATTACAGTATTTCCGACCACTATAAGAATTGCAGTTTATCATGTCAAATTGTCATGAGTGGATCATCATTGAAGCTTATTTAGTTGTCAGCCACACAATAGGCCTCTGTCTCAGCATAAAAATTGACTGCTGCTTGATGTTCAAACTGCTGACTTGACTTTCAACCCCCCCAGGACATCACACAAGCGACAAACACCTGATGACACAAAGTGTCAAGTGGATGAGGATTGCCGTGGAAAGGTCCCAGAAACCGCGTTCAGACAATTGGCCATATTTATGGCCTGCCTATATTGCGGCCCCTGGCAAAAGCCAGGGTGGGGCTTCAAATAACAAAAAATTTCGTCCTGAAAATGACGAAGGTGGATGATGTCGAAACTGCTGACACATATACTTTGCATTTATACTTTTTTATCTAAATATATACTTTGCTATTATTTTTTTTTTAACTTTTACACTCTGAATGTATCAGTGTATGTGTGGGTGATTTGTTATGTTGCTTTCAAAAGATGTTTATTATTTTTATGTGAGAAGTTATATTTAATCTATTGTGCTAGAAGATCCTTAAATGTCTTTGGACGTATCAGGTTTTGTTTAAACTCAGCATAATAATCTTCTAGTGTCAGTGTCAGTGTTTTTTTGTTTTTTTTACCTCAAATTATAAACATTTATCTGTTTATAATGGTGTTGGTATTATTTGATCTCTCCTTTACTTGTTTTATCTCTTCATGGAGATGCTAGTTTTGTTTTTAAATTCTACAAAATATCTTTAGTTATTTATTAACTCTTTGAGTCCCAGGGGGTTTACCAGCACAGACCCAATGGGTACTATAAAGAGACTAAAATCGACACATCATACGTTCGTCGGGCTTCTAGGTAAGAACCTATGAAAGTATGATGCCTTCCCTGGGACTCGAAGAAATTAGTTTTGGTTTAACTAGGGTTAACAGTCTTTAGCTTTTTATGAAGATATATTCATTTTGTTGAGCTCTAGTTAACAAACTTTGTGTGTTTTTCTGAAAGGATGAGCATTGTGTGTGAGCATACAGGTTTCAGCTGTGTGTAGACTGTTTTATTACTTTATTCTGCTTAAAATATATAACTATTTGTGAAGGCATCTGTTTTTGGTTGCAGAATGAAGCAGTGCAGTGAACTTGATGGGATTAAAATAATGCCATGTTGGACACACACACAAGTTAAAGTAGCCATTTTGATAGAAATAAGAATAGAAATTCCATATAGTGAGCTGTCTGGCAAAATATGAAATGAATGACCTAACTGATAAGTATAAAATGAGTTGCTTAGAACAGGATTCATAAGTCCATTTGAATGTATTTCAGTGATGAAGGTGACAGTTGTGGACACACAAGAAACACACAATGACATGACCTTCCCATCCAGAGAAGACTTGTGGCAGTCCACATGGCAAGCAGAGGCTGGTTCAGACTCTATCACCATAAAGAGTACAAGTCTGAAGATTGTTGGGATGAAAGGTGAGAGTGTTTACTGAGGCAGGAATAAAACACTCCTGGTGGTCTAGTGGTTAGCGTAGCACTCTGAGGCTTGTGAGTTAATTTCACATGGATGTTTTTCAATTTCTTGTGGATTGTCACAGAAGTTATGGAGTTCATTCTTTGTGTGATGCTGTCAACAGACAGCTAGCCATTCTGCTGAGAGAGACTGAGCTGTATGGGATGCATCCAGTGCAATTCTCTTTTTGTGATAGAAATGGTTAAAGACATGGTCGGGATTGAGTGGCTTAAAAAATTTCAGTGAAAGAAGACTCTATGACAGAGTGATTGAGCCATTTGCCTCACCCACTCAGGGCTGAGGGTTTGGTTTCAGACTGTGTTGTTTGGTTCACTAGTGTATTTATTTTGGAGATCTCAGGAGGTTGATTCTGGGGTAAACAGAGTTCATTTGTAAAACTGGGCAGACAAGCAGCCACTCTGTGGAGAGACCCACGCTATATGGGATCAGACCCTGTGTAATGAAGAAAACTTCTTAACTTCACATGCCTTTTAAATGAAAGTAAATAACAAGGACATCGAAGAAACAAGCTCTTAGGAAATTATTGGGGCACTATGGAATCCCACAGAAAATTATTAACTTAGTAAAGGCTACATTCAAGGACATGAAATGTCGAGTTCTTCATGAGGGAAAGCTAACAGATACATTTGAAGTAAAAACAGGTGTGTGACAGGGATGTCTTTTGCTGCCTCTCCTATTTTTACTGGCAATAGACTGGATAAGGAAGACAGTAACTGCTAACACCAACAATGGAATTCAGTGGACCCTACAAAACAGCTTGATAATCTGGACTTTGAGGAGGATATTTGTCTTCCGTCTCATTCACGGAATCAGACACAAGATAAATGTACTTGATGCAAGATCACAAGAGCTAGGTCTGAAAATCCATAAAGCAAAGACAAAGAAAATGAGAATAAATCAGACAAATAGTAATGTGGTTTTTCTTTATGGTACCATACTCAAAGACATGGTGTCTTCATCGTACATCTACTTGCGCAGTAATGTGGACAGAGATGGGGGAGCTGAACAAGAAATTAAAATTTAAAAGGCAAGAGGAAATTTCATAGCACTAGAGAATTTGTGGAGGTCAACAGAAGTTTAAAGAAATATTAAACTTAAAATTTTTTATTCTCATGTCAAATCAGTACTGTTGAATGGAGCAGAAACATGGAGAACAACTAAGGCCATTACCAATAAACTACAAACATTTATAAAGTGGTGCCTGCACAGAATAGAGCTTTAGGAAAGAACTAAGCCAGTTCCAGTGGACCAAGAGGTGAAGAAAAGATGCTGGTGTTGGATAGGACAGACGTTGAGAAAACTGGAATACATTATAAATAGAACGTCTTTGCATTGGAACCCACAGAGGCATAGGAAAAAAGGGAAAAAATACATGGAAAATGGAGAGTGAAGTTACAAAGATGAGGACATGGGGGGAGCTGCATGCGATATCAAAGGATAGAATAGCTTGGTATGAGTTGTTTGAGGGCCTATGCTCCATTGGGGGATAGAAAGGCAGAAGAAGAAGACACTGACACAGAATGACAATAGCCATTGCTGCTTATGAAGCAGTGGATCACTTACTGCTCCTCCCTATGACACTTAACAGCAGAAGTGGAAATTGATGATGATAAATATGTAACAGATTTTAGAATAACAATAGAAACAATTTTTGAATGATGATTATTAATATGTATAAAATCCATACAGGGCTTGTGAATATAGTTTTCACTCTATAAAAACATGGAAAGTATGATGTCAACTCTAGCTCCCATTTGTAACTTGATGTCATCACAAATTTGAGAATTACAGTATAACAGATCTTTTTTAACGATAATTGTTAATGTGCGTGCGTGCATGTGTGCGTGTGTGTACACACACACATACATACATACATACGTATGTACGTACGTGCGTACATACATACATACATACAAACATACGTACGTACATACATACGTACATACGTACATACATACATACATACATACATACATACAAACATACATACGTACGTACATACATACATACATACATACAAACAAACATACAAACATACATATTTATTTTTCATACAGGGCCTGTGAATATTGTTTTCACTCTGTATAAAAACATGGAGAATATGATGCAACCCCAGACAAATGCTCTTTCACCAATGCCAACGGTATTGTCTGCAAATGAAGTGGAAAGCTACTACAGCACAGAAACCATACGAGATGCCTTCTACACAACAGGGTCTGGTAAAGGCGGTGTGAGAGTGATCAATTCTAAGGTGATTGCTGCCTCCATCAACAGCACCAAGCCAAGGCGGAAACTAGCAGAGCCAGTTGTATTCACACTGCAGCATCTGGAGGTAACTGAACACTGAAGCATTCAGTGTGTGTCATTTCTTTCTTTTGTTAATGTAATCCAGTCATAGGTAAGTGAATGCTGAAGTTTTCAGTGTGTGTCATTTCTTTTTTTTGTTAATGTAATCCAGTCATAGGCTAGTGAGTGCTGAAGTATTCAGTGTATGTTATTTCTTTGTTTTGTTAGTTTAAAACAGTCATAGGCTAGTGAGTGCTGAAGTATTCAGTGTATGTTATTTCTTTGTTTTGTTAGTCTAATACAGTCATAGGCTAGTGAGTGCTGAAGTATTCAGTGTATGTTATTTCTTTGTTTTGTAGTCTAATACAGTCATAGGCTAGTGAGTGCTGAAATAGTGTGTGTTATTTCTTTCTTTTGTTGGTTTAAAACAGTCATAGGCTAGTGAATGCTGAAGTATTTAGTGTATGTTATTTCTTTGTTTTGTAAGTCTAATACAGTCATAGGCTAGTGAATGCTGAAGTATTTAGTGTATGTTATTTCTTTGTTTTGTAGTCTAATACAGTCATGGGCTAGTGAGTGCTGAAGTAGTGTATGTCATTTCTTTCTTTTGTTGGTTTAAAACAGTCATAGGTTAGGGAATGCTGAAGTATTCAGAGTGAGGCACTTCTTTCTTTCATTTAATAGAGTCATAGGTTAGTGAATGCTGAAGTATTCAGTGTATGTTACTTCTTTCTTTTATTTGTCTTATACAGTTAGTTATGTTAAAGTTATTATTTCCTCAAAACATGTATGGTAATCTGTTGGTAGGCACGATATATAATGATGTTAATGTTAATTATTACTAGTTATATTGATGGGCATGGATCAGATATGTATGGTGTAAAGGTGAAATAAATAAATTGTTTAAATGTATCACCAGTTAATATATTGGTTGGCATTGTGAAGTTTAAAAAAAATTGTTTAAGTTTATCACTATTAAAAATGCTAGTGAAGATGGATGAAAGAAATAGTTTTTTTTATATTTATATCACCAATAATATGTTAGTGAGCATGAATGAAAGAAGTCGTATATTCAGACACCTCACTGATTTCAGTTTTATGAATGCTTCTATTAAAACTTGCGGCGTCCGCGGCTCAGGCATTGCGAGTCTGACTCGTAATTCCAACGTACCGCAATCGAAACCCACTGCTGGCTGCGTGGATTTTTATCATGGTGTGGGGCCTCGCAGGTCGACCCAGCCTAAAATGGGTACCAGGATGGCTGTCCTGGGAAAACAGAGACAGCCGACTTAACACTGACCACATTACCCACCTTAATGTCGATAGTCTGACAATATATGGGCTCTCTTCCCACATACCCGATGCACCTGAATGCATGAAAAGGAATCTTTACTTTTTTTCTTTTTAAACTATTAAAACCTGCAATACAATTTTATCACAAACAGTTTAAGTGTGTACATTATTCATGTGTTCCTAATATAACTTGATGTTTGCATCATAAATTTCCCTAAACACCTGATTGTTATTTTTACCTTTTTATGCGGATGTTCACAGTTGGGGTGGGGTGGAAAAAGAGGAGGTGCAGTTAGTTTAAATGAAATGTAAAATTATAAGTGTCAATTAAAGTATTTTATGTTCTAAAAATTGACATATAACTAATCTGTCTACTTGATCTACAACAGCCCATCAGTAACGAAAGACCACTTTGTTCATTTTGGGACATGGACACAAGGTAAATATTTAAATAATGAGTGACTAATGTTAAATCCATCAGATAAAAACTAAGTGGAAGATCACAAGCTCCTCTAACCAGTTTACACATTCCTCTAGCCTCATTAATAAGTATAATACACGATACTTGCCCTGGTCCACATTCCTCTAGCCTCATTAATTAGTATAATACACGATACTGGCCCTGGTTCACATTCCTCTAGCCTCATTAATTAGTATAATACACAGTACTTTCCATGGTCCACATTCCTCTAGCCTCATTAATTAGTATAATACACAATACTTGTGGTGGTCCACATTCCTCTAGCCTCATTAATTAGTATAATACACAATACTTGCGGTGGTCCACATTCCTCAAGCCTCATTAATTAGTATAATACACAATACTTGCGGTGGTCCACATTCCTCTAGCCTCATTAATTAGTATAATACACAACTTGCCGTGGTCCACATTCCTCTAGCCTCATTAATTAGTATAATACACAACTTGCCGTGGTCCACATTCCTCTAGCCTCATTAATTAGTATAATACACAACTTGCCGTGGTCCACATTCATTGGCACTTTGTCAAATTCACCTAAATGCTAATCCTTATTTTGGGAAAGTGGGGGGAGGGAGAACTTTGTACAAACATACTGAGTGACAAATGAAAATTGTTTAGCTGAATGAAACAATCATACTTCATTTAGATCTATTTAGAGTAGACATTCATGTGTGTAAACATAGCATGAGCAGGAGAAGAAACATGTCTGATTCATGCTTATGTAATCAAATGAGATAGGGGACCATGATTGCAGACACCAGGGCTGTTCAACTAATATTACTCTGGGGCCAAAATGTTCAAATATGGATTGTCATGGGTCAGACGCCAAAGCCCCAATGTAGAAGGATCATTACTACAATACAACTGGCAATGATTCTTCTTTCTTTCTCCTTTGCGATCAGTTTCTTATGCTCAAATCAGACAACCGGATGGGTTGCCTCTATGAACTCACATGTCAGCTGCAGGTCTGACTGGAAAATTTTCTTCTTCTTCTTCTTCTTCTTCTTCTTCTTTGCGATCGGTTTCTTATACTCAGTTCAGACCATCAGATGGGTTGCCTCTATGAACTTGTATCAGTGATTTGAGGGCCACTTACTAGGCTCCCATGTGCCAGATTTGGCCTGGAGGCCACCAGTTGAATAACCCTCACCTACACAATGGGCTTGGCACATATTGAGTCTGCAGTGACGCAGGGTCTTTATAAAAGCCAGAGAGACATACGTAGCCCGAGAGAGAACATGCAGATCTCTCTGCGTTCACCAGCAGACAATAACGGTAGACAACCTGCAGTTTTGTTCAATCCACCAGTGAACTAATAAATAATAACGTTTATTGACAATTATTTATGGTGTTACATTATTCTTAAATAGTTATTATTGTTTATTTCTTATGCAACACTCTTATATTAGCTACTTCAGTGGCCAGTGGTCTCAAGAGGGTTGCCAACTGATTGACACCAACATCTCCCACACGACATGTGAATGTGATCATTTGACTAATTTTGCTGTTCTTATGGATGTCACAGGAGTAAAGGTTAGCCACGTTTCATGTTACAAGCTTTATAGTTGCTGTCTTTTATTAATTCAATTTTTTTTCAGTTGTTAAAGGACCCTGTTTAGTGCCAGTTGCACATCATGTTAAACAACTCAATTCAGTCCCAGTCACTTGCCATGTTGTCGCGCGCCCACGTGGGTAAATACACTGATATAGTGAGGGTGTGGGTTTGAACCTTAACAATGCCCACCCACATGAGAAACTGGACTATTATCTAAGCTATGTTGATCCTAGACAGTCCTGGATAGCCAAGAAAACAGCGAGTGGCTCGTTCCATGAAATAAAAGTTGCTGTACTTGTATCCACAGGAGTAGGAGAAGGGATAGATAGATATCTGGATAAACCCACTGTGATATAATCCAGGTGCTCAGTTAACCCCTGCGACTGGTCTCCTCTCCTGGCATTACTTAAAAGCCCCCATCAAGTGATTTAAATATTTGTTAGCTGAAGTAAACTAATATGCACAAAGACACTTGAACCTAAGTACACAATTTACTCAACTTTCATGAAACTCATAACACATGATTTATTTGAATAAATCGAAATTAAAATAAAATGAACTTGTTTAGGCTAGTAGAGTTTAGGTTATGTGAATGATGAAATCATAAAGGTATTGGAAAGTAACAACCTTTGGACAGTTCTCGGCTTGAGACCCTGCCTATCTTTTCCAGTTTGTCGTCCTCACTGCTTTCTGCAGGTCGTTACACTCGACGGTCGGCAAATAATGGATGCCTACTAGTCCCTGCCCAATGTGGGAACTGGAGAATGAAGAAACAAGTGCATATTTGTAGTATCTGCTCTAGATGTACACTAAGCATGTATATTATACTAACATCAAGCATGTTTATTTAAATAAAACATTTCATCTCTCCCTCATGTTCACATTCACTCCTGTCCAATTTGGAAGGGCTTATGTCTCACATTCCAACTGTTACATCTTCTGCCTTCCTCTACACGTCCTGTAATGATAGTCAAGTCTTCTACGTCAGGTGCCATCTCTCGTACAGACTCAAATGACAATCAGTCAGACAGAACCAGTTCTGGAATCTATGCCTGGAACAATCGACGCGCCCAGAAAGCTAACAATATTTCTGAGGCGAATCAAATACCAAATCTCAAGGATTTTCTCTCCGGGATCAATCTCCGCATTTGCCTCCCGAGAGTTAAACACATTTCAGTGTGTTAGCTGTGTGTAATACAGATTCACATTAACCACACGTGAAAAGATTGCCAAAGTTATCTTCACGCTTGTGATTTCAAAAACATGATAGTTCATTAAATTTCAATGGCAACAACAACATTTAGGTTTTACAACATTGAAACACATGTGCACGAAAAACATTCATGACACTATCAAATAGGATATAAAGCAATGTGACAGTGCCCTACGAGAATGAAGAAATGTCCGCCTAGGAGTGTTACAAAGTGATGAAGACACACAGTTGAGTAAAAAGACAGTTAGATCTCTATCATAAAATATAGATTTGAACCTAATTTCGATCTTACCTGGAAAAATGAAACCACGATGCCAAAAGTTCTGTCTCAAGCTTAGGTTAAGCCCAACAGATGGTATGTGCTTGACAGCGTCTCATTTACCAGACCTAGAGTTCAGCCCTTTATAACTTTTATCAAGCTCCTCCTACATTACGCCTAAAACCATTCTCATTCAAGGATATCACAGCTCCTCCCCTGTGGGCAAGTTTATTCGCTGTCAGTCAGGGCTGTACAACACTTGTTTAAATTCCCACGCTAGGATCTCCTGGTTCAATTAAGCTGGTCAGAGCTAATAGGACAAGTCACACCTCCGGCCTACTTCACCTGCCATCACAATAAAATCAGACGGTGTCATTTCTTCTGTTAACACTTTCTGCTCACCATGTCAATAGTGACCGTCGGACCTGCCGTCGAGTTAGGTAACCTCAGGGGGAATTAAACACAATTAGCCGGAGTTAGCTGCTCCTAAAAGTCTGGTTAGGAGATAAAATATCTGACACCAACAGATGGTGTGCAAATCTCCAGTCAGTAAGTCTGCTTGGTCAGTCTTATCTCTGTACCTTAACACTTAACATCTGGGAAAAAGTTGTAGTGTTTGATATGACCAACGGTCCAGGAGAATTAAAGGTTTGATGTGGTCGTCATTAAGGATGTATCCAAATCCCTATTTTCCTGTATACTTTCAAAATACAAAGAAATAAAAGTAGGTTGAGGAAAGACATTCTGAAGTCACCGAGCGTATTGTCACACATGTGTTTACTGGTTACTCTTACCTGATATGTCTTTTTTAAACATTTTGTTCCCCAAGTAACTGTTATAATAACCTGTGTGTTAACTGTTATAATAACCTGTGTGTTAACTGTTATAATAACCTGTGTGTTACTGTGATACTTTCTGTGCCTTATTGTGGCTATTTTAACTAGGGCTGTACCAAATAGTGATTTTCACTATTCGGCCGAATACGAATAGTGGGACCAACTATTCCGCTGAATACGAATAGTGTATCATCATCATCAGGTGCCTTGCTGACTGGCGTGGGCGATTATGCCCACAATCTGAGATCTCCTGCAGCATATATTAGTTCACGTGCTGACACACCTCCATGCCATGCAACAAGACTGTCCAGAATCGTCTCTCGTTGTCTTCCTCTATCCCTCCTTCCACAGATCTTTCCAGTGGTCACAACATGTTCCATTTTTCCTCTTCTTATAACATGACTGAAAAATGACGACTGTCTCCTTCTGATGTCTGTGATTAGTTTCCTTGGAGCTCCCGCCTCTTTTCAAAACGTTTGCTTGGCCGTTTGTTTGATGTAATTTAATCGCAAATTTATATTCTAGTTAGCAATATCTTCAAATTTGATTTGTGCGAAGACACCCTGAAAGAACGAAAAATGAATGATCTTTCTCCCCCCCCCCCCCCCCCCCCCCCCTCTCTCTCTATCTCTCTCTCTCACGCACACACAGAGAGACTCACAAACACACGCACACACAAGCAACAACAACAACAAAATAAAGCAGTGCTTTCAAATATAAGTGCTTACTTGATGAGGCTAACAGTTACTATTATACAGACCACATTTTCCACTTTAAAATTTCAGCCAAAATGTAGACACAATTTATAGCCGACTTTTCTTGATTTTCACCGCCGCACCCCTATCATACGCACCCAGTTTGAAAACCTCTGATGTAATGCCTCAGTCGAGTAAGCAGGTAAAGACCTTGCCAGCTGCTGTATCACGCAACCGGGTTGCAGTTTCCCCTGCTACGACATACTTAGGCAACAGCAGCTATTGTGTTAATGAGAGAGTTATTTCAGCCCATCGCAGTGTATGCAGAAAAGGGTTTAAGGTAACAACTATTTGTATTCGGCCTGACCGCAACTATTCGGCCATATACCGAATAGTTATTAGGTCCACTATTCGGCCCCGAAGCGAATACGAAGCGAATATTCGGTACAGCCCTAATTTTAACCCATCTTTATCTTAACAAATACTGTGGATAAAAATACTTACGAATCAATGAGTCAAGTGATGCCTGTTTGGGGCAGAAAGAATTTAGATGCTGAATTTATTTTTTTAAACTTTTTTTATTTTTGAGTGTGTAGATCAACTGGCACTGAAATGCAGTCAAAATTATGCTAGCTTTAAAAAAAGATTTGATGAACTGTAAATGAAACAAGATGTCTTGGGGTGGTGAAGCTGAACACATGTGTCTAGTAGAACCGCTAAACAGTAAGATTCTAATTCTTCAAGTCTACGTGGAACTATTATGTCGTTTGGTTTTCTTTGGCACTTTTCTATCTTTCCAGACAATGGTGTTATATTGCGCTATGAAGAGGCATGGAACTCACAGCCAATGGATGAAATCGGTCCTCTCCATAGCTCAAAGCCTGGGCAGTATTGTAGAGACCATGTGTTGCCCATGCATCATGATCCCTCTCTCACTCTGCCTTGTTTACTCCAAAGAAAAGATCACACCAGTATGTTTAGGACAAAGGCTACAGAAGCTGCCAGATGAGAAAAGCAGTGCTCTATCTCTCTCTACCTCCTAGACCAGCTGCCAGCCAAAGCTAAGGGCCTGATACAACTATTATACAGTCAGTCTAATTAGTAGTCTGTACAGAAGCTAAATACAGAAGGATTCAAATCTGTTCCAGTGCAGCTTTGAACCCAGTGCTTTCAGGTCACAGGCATACATCCTCCTGCTGCACTACTGCATGAATGGCCCAAAAAATGGCCATGTCTTGCATGTCTGTTGTAAATCTCATTTTTGTTTGTTTAATGACTGAAAGGTGACTACATTTCAATCTATCTATCCCCATCATGCCCAGAGGCACATAAGGCAGAGACTAAATTTACATCATGTTTTTTTTTAAACTAAATTTTCATCTTTATATAATTTTTTCAGTTGTCATCAGAAAATGAGCTGGCCCTTCGAGTGATTACATTTGTTGGCTGTGTCATCTCAGTGATCTGCCTGCTGCTGAGCTGGATTACATTTCTGGTGTTCAAGTAAGTTTCTTGACTGTGACTTCTTGAGGAGTACCTTGTATACTAGATATAATCAGAAACTTCCGGGGCATGTTGGTGTGAATGACAATCAAAGAGTGAATGTCCTACTGGAGGAAGAGGATCTTCAGAGGACAGAAAGGACACTAAATGCTATACAAAAGACAGCACACGCTGAAGACCTCAAATATAAGGAGACTGAATTCTGCCAGACTCAGGTGAAAAATCTGAGGGTATCCGTAAGAAAAGTGTGACACAAAAACCACCAGAGAGCTCCACTCACTACATCGGCCAATGGAAACAGTATTCATCAGTGTAAAAACAGCAAGGAACATTCTCAGGAGAAGATTAGAGCACTCACTGTTGTGGCTCGGTGTGTATTGAGACGATCCTGTACTGAACAATGAACAAAAAACTCACAAAGTCTAGAGGATCAATTTCATTGCACCAGGTTTGATCCCATATGGCTCAGCCTCTCATCACAGAATAGCTAGCTGCCTGCTGAGAATGTTGCTCAAAGGACAGACTACATAGCTCCAGCAACGATCCCCAGGGATCTCCATAATATTGCACCCATGATCTGAAAGACACATCTGCAAAACAAACCCATGACTTTCAGCGCATGAGGCAGATGGCTTCACCACAGAGACCCCTCAGACTAAAAAAAACAACCAGCCAGGATCCTGCTACATTACTGCGATACCTTTTAATACTCCAACCACCAGAACGGCTAACTCGGACAATAAATACCCCAAGAAGTTACTTGTGGCAGCTTCTTCATCCTCACTGTCTTTGGTTACTTCATCGAAGGTAGGGGGTGAATGTCAGGATCTTCTCTTTCCAGTGCTTGTATAAGTTGTTATTTCTTTAAAGCGGCTGTTCATGGCGTCCTTCCCTATTCTTTCTGGTCTTCCCTTTACTCTGTGTTCATTAGATTTCTTCATCATGGCTGTGTGTGGCAGTTGATGCCAGAGTATTCTCATCAGATGGCCAAACCATCTAATCTGTTGCTCTATTTAGTCTTAGTCCTACTCAAGGTTTAAATTTCACTGCAGTCGGGTTTCCCCATACTTGCTCCGTTTATGTGCCAGTGAAAATCAAATGAAATGTCCCTCACTGTCCCACCTGAAAAACTGGGGAAAAGATAGCATAATCCAGAAATATGTGCATGCAGTAAATGCAAATGGCAGTTGCTAGAGATATCATAGCCAACTGTCACCACCAGAAATGCAGTTTGTCGTTGATAGAATTAGTTGGGCACGATAATTTGGCTATTCATACGTAGAATTATTACATAAGGTTTTTCACCAGCTCACACTTAAACTTGCTACCGGCCATATTGAATACCATAAAACAACCGCTGCACAAAGGAAAGGCATTCCAAATGAAAAACACAGCTCACAGGGCTGCGTCAAGCACTAAACTCAGTAGCTCGGACAGCAAAACCATAGACTACCGTCCATATGTGGAAACGTCCATATTGGCAAAGCGCTGTTGGAAGCAAAAATTACTTCAAAGCTAAACATTCAGCCATGCCAATTCCTCCATTTTAGACCGGAAGTCTCTACTGCTTTATCTTCCGTGAAACTGACAGTAACACCTCCAGCAACTTCTCTATGTGTAGTATCTTCCATTGCATTTTCCATCAGAGCGACATCACGACTTCCGCTGGTGTAGACTGAGCAGAGATGACCAGCTGAACACCCCCATTGTCACTGTGTCTGTATAGCCAGACAGATACCTATGCTCTTTAATAAACTGTATGATTGGTTCCAGTCCTAGTCTTCTTCTAGTTTCTTAATGTTTAGTTTTATTATCTTGTTACTCTGGCTGCTCTTCTAAGACATCTCATCTTTGTTATGATTTTGGTGAAGGTCCTTGTTTAGCACTGGTGATTTTGCACTCATTAGTTTTAGTGAAGGTCCATGTTTGGCACTGGTAGCATAAAGTTGGCCAAATAATAGTTCCAGTTAGACTTGCCTTGGTAGACAAACACAACAACCAGGGGCTGTTGGGGTTGGTTCTGCAACGTCCTGTAAAGGATACGCAACGAACCTTTTTTGGTAGACAAAGGTAAACTTCTATGTGTCAAAAGTGGTTGTCCTAGTACATGGTTTATTTTGGCACGCTGTATTTAGACTTCTCTGTCTTTTTACTGTTGTTGTTGCTGTTGTTGGGAAAATTAACTTTAAGAATTCACTTGTTTGTTTTATCTTTGCGTCATTAACTTTTTTTAAATATGATTTTTGAGTGCCCACTTTTTGTCGTGCAGTTGACAGGTACAAAAATTTCAGCTTTTCTTTAAATAGACACAATACAGTTATATCTTAAACTAAAACAAATATTGGATAAATGAAGACGAATATTTCTCAGACAAATCAAAGGTAAACTGCCTGAACCTGGAGGATCAGACAGTGAGCTCATGTTACTTTACACATTATTTAACGCGCGTAAATCGTTAGCTTCATAATTCCAGCAGACGAAGATTATTTGGTTATGTTACAAGTAGCCGAGGGATCAAGGAAATGCATTCGTACAAGATGCAGAGGATGTAGGGAAGGTACACTTAGAAACTATAACTAAAGGAATCACTACTATGCAGTCTGAAATGTTAATCAGTTGTGATAGCACTAGTGATGTTACTTCATTAGAGGTGGCCCCATTGCATGTGTGGTCAGTGTAGTTTGTGAACAGAAGAGATGATGGCAAGTAATCATGTTGTTGTAGCCCAAATATGATGACAAACAGTCAGTCCTGTATTTTTTGTTTACTCATTGCTTGTTAGTGTAAAGACTTTCACTATAATTATCAAGTCTTAGCTTTGTAATGCTTGTTTCTGACAGCTGTTGCCAACAGTTTACAAGCTGTTTGCTGGCCCACGTACAGCAGGGAACTGTGATAGAGCTGTGACTAGTACCCTTGTCTGCCAGCCAGACATTATGTCTTAAAGGTCTTGTTAACTCTTTCGGTACCAAACAACAAATAACAATTTCACCTAGGCTCAAAGATCAGCACATATAAAATGAATTTTAGGACATGTTCTTGGAAGTAAAGGTGACCTGCATGAGATGGGCCATGATATTTCTAAGTGATTCCATGAACATGCTTAAGAAGATAGAGACAGGTTTGGTTTGAAGATAGTGGTTGAAGTCATTGAGGTAGTTGCATAGGGCAGGAATCAGTTTCATTTTTGTATCAGGGCATGCTGGGGTTGGAGAGAATGAATGAGCAGATACGCTTGCTGGCAGGGCCACAGTAGATACAGGTCAAGCAATGGAGCGAGCTGATGTTCTCAATGCTCTCAAGGAGGTAGAACAAGTAAATGAGTCATGAGATGACCATCAGTCGGCAACATTCAAAGATTACAAGAACTTCAGGTCAAAAGAGTTATTGCCAGACATGAACACTATACAGGTAGCCAAAGAAGAATAGTAAACCAACACAGAACTGGTGTTATCAGTCGCTACAGCTGAGGGGCATACTGAAGAGGGGATTTGAGTGCTTTTGGAATTGTCCGATGTGCAGCGCTTGTTTCCATAGCGAGGCGCACACGCCATTTGGAGGTGACCGGTTCGATTCCTGGCACAATAACTATAGCTTTCAATATTTTTGGGTTCTAGTATGTTCTTCTATCTTTCAGCTTATTTCTATAAGTGCCAATCAATACTTGTCTCTTTCTTAAATACATTTAATGATTGAATCATTGTATTATATGAATTATATTTTTTCCCCAGAAATCTACAATGTGATCGCAACACCATTCACAAGAACCTGGTGTTTTGTCTGCTGTTGGCAGAAATTGTGTTTCTTGGTGGCATTGCTCAGACTGAGCCAAAGGTACTTCTCTGCATTTTGTAAACACAAATTGACACTCTCAGTATTGTCACACCTGTATTTGATTTGGTTCATTAAGTTCATTAGCAGGAACACTATCAGTCCAGACCAGATGTAGAACTAGTCAGCTTCACAAAACCACAATTGTGAACATCTAATTGAACGCTGTGGCTAGAAATCTTTCATCAGCATATTACACAAACGGACGATGCAATTGAAATTACAAACAAGAATTGATTAATTTTTTTAAATCACTTATATTTATGATGAGGCCTGTCACAAAATCTCCATCCATGCTCAAAGAGTGAAAGTTCTATGTCAGGAGATTGGTGTATGAAAATAGAGGGCTAACACCATCAGCAGCACAATGTACCTCTAGATGTATAAATGGTTCCCTTTATTCTTCACTTTTATTTGTAAGTAGTATATGGCATTTTGGTTTGTTTGTCCAATGTATACAATGCTGAACATTATAAGCTTGTGAGGTGCTGTATTTCTTCTGTAAATGTGATTAATTTGGGCCCCAAGATTTTTCTGTATGTTTCAGCAGCAGTTATAGCTAATATTCCAAAATGACTGTTAATCATATTGCTAACAAAAATTGTTCATATAATGTCTTAGATTCTGTGTTCGGTGATTGCTGGCATGTTGCACTACCTCTTTCTGAGTGCATTTGCTTGGATGTGTTTAGAGGGAGTCCAGCTTTACATTATGCTTGTTGAAGTTTTCGAGCAGGAAAAGTCCAGAGTACACTGGTACTATTTGTTCGGCTATGGTAAGTTAGTTTTTTCCTTACACGCTCATCAGATCACATTTGTATGTGTTAATTTCACCTTCATCTTCTACTTTTTTGTTGTTTTATTAATAAAGTCATGGTGTTTACATTTTCAATGTTTATTTTATGCATTGAAAACTGTTGACATTATTTCTCAACTGTTTAATTTTTTTTTTGGCTTGTACATTATTTGGGGTGTGTGAACATTTAGTGCACAGACCTAGACATATTTTTGTGCTGATGGGTTTTCTCTACACTTAATTGTGAACAGTCTGTATTTTCCTTCGGTTTGAGAACTCCAGATTACTTTATTTTTCCTTATATTAACATTTTAATATACTTTTCTTTACATAATCTTCACTATTGTTAAGCCACCTTTATTAGTTTCTGAAATATCTTTGCAAATGTTGAGTACAAATTTGGCAATTTTCGGCATAAAACATGACATTTTCAGTCAATATCTGTAAAAATTTTAGCCCCCAAAATTAATTTTCCATCAATCTTTAACTAATATGTACCTACAGAAAGCATTGTTTCCAACAGATTTAATCAAATTCAATTTGAGGGTTTAACCTATCCTTAAGTGCCTTGCCAGCTAGCATTTTTGTTTATGTCTGTCTGTAACCAATGATATCCAACCACATATGTAAGTGCTAACACCCCTCTATACCATCACAAAAGACAAGAAGATTCTCTTTTGTTTTTTTCTGTGTTTACAAATCTTTCCAATTACAACATGTTTTAGATTCCTTATTCTCATACCATGGCCAGAAATTATGATGGTCTCCATCTTGTGTATGTGATAAGTTGTCTTTGAGTCTTCATCACTTTCAAAACTCATTTTTGCTGTTAAGAGAATTTTAAACATTCTTCTGTGTATGTATACATATTGAGTAATATTACAGTTAAGGTCATAACATACATATCATTTTGTTAATGTATTATTTTTGTGTGTCTGTTTTTTGTGTGATGCCAGGGGTGCCTGCGATCGTAGTTGCTGTCTCTGCTGGAGTTTTTCATGAAGGATATGGAACAGACAGACAGTAAGCAGTAGTGTTAGACTGTCCTGTCAAGTTTCCTCATTCTGTCTTCCATTCTTTGACATTAGTCAGGAAAATCATTGGATTGCTTCACTTGTTCTCTCTACAGAGAATACCAGAATATATAAAAGTCTTTTCGACCAAAATAAAACCGCAGCTGTTAGCCACGGGATACTAAGGTATACAAGTGAAATAAAGGACCCTTTTCCACACCTTCAGGCCTGTAGGGCTAGAGTGACCAGTGGGCATTTGGTGGGTGATATGGTCAGCATCCAGCCAGCTGCCTTTACTTGCCAGAACTTTACCTGGTATCTTTTTGAGGCTGGGTCGACCTGAGAGCCAAGGTCAGTTTTTAAAAAAGCCCGGCTCCATCAGTCAGTTTTGGAGAAAAATTTACCTTGATGCAAATGTTAACCCAAGACTATAAAGTCAGTAAGCGAGTATCTGGCAACTAACCCATTTCTGGAGTAGCCTTTCAGATAACTCATAAATAAATCTTTCTACAAGTAAGTGGAGCTTGAGGAGTAGCAACTTGTTCTCTGTCTGAATGTTAGTCCTGTAGGAGCAGATAGACACTCAGTTTCTCTTGTTTGTGCATGGATGTGTGGATAATATAAGTTAAAAACACTGAGGGGAAAAAACAAGCCAGTAAATTTAATCACTTAGATGAATTTTCACATCTGTAGAAAGAATAGAAAGAAAATCAAATCAGGTCCTTGGACAACTGACACATATTTTGACAACACAAGATATCTTTATCTGCTGAGACAAATGTAATAAGAACTATCTTATGGCTAATGCTGTGCCACAAGTGGCACACTTGAAGTCTGACGGCAAATGATTATGGAAAAATAATCACACAATTAGATGTCACTGAGGTGTTGCTTGAGTTATACAACAGTTTGATGAGGTTACTTGAAAAAATAGAAGTGGAAAGTCTTATTTATTTTCTAAACATGTTCATAGTTGGTTGGCTGTCACAGCATAATTGTATAGGATAAGGTAGCCAACTCCAAGTGCAACCCTTCAGATAGTCACCTCTTGTAACATTCAAGCTTCTTAGTTCTGTTTTATTTTCTTTATGCCTGCTTTTTTGTGTACAAACATTCCACGTGGAGCCACAGTCGCTGCTCACCTGCTGGCCTAAAGGTCTTGAGTTATAATCAGCATCAAGACAGATGTGTTCAACATTGGCCTTGGCTGCCAAGTCAACTCAGCCTAAAGAGGGGACCACTTGGCGTCCTGTGAAGTAAAGGTGATTTGGTATATAAGAATATATCATCATTTGCTGAGTGGGTCACTGGTGTATAAATGGTCTTTTACTTACTTTATAAACATTCAGCTTCATGTGATTTGGCAGCAGACCACTCTGTGGTACATCTTACTGTGGTATGAGTGCTAACCATGCAGTAAAAAGTCCCTTCACAAGCAAGTTGCGCATTGGGCATGTAAGGCTGGTCTCAGTTTTTTTTTATAGATCAATCGGCCCTGGATGAATATTGTGGTTAGCATCATGCCCATCTCTATTACTTCCCAGAACTTCACCTTGTACTCTTTTAAGGCTGTGTCAACCTAGGAGCTAAGGTCCATTACTTCCCAGAACTTCACCTTGTACTCTTTTAAGGCTGTGTCAACCTAGGAGCTAAGGTCCATTACTTCCCAGAACTTCACCTTGTACTCTTTTAAGGCTGTGTCAACCTAGGAGCTAAGGTCCATTACTTCCCAGGACTTCACCTTGTACTCTTTTAAGGCTGTGTCAACCTAGGAGCTAAGGTCCATTACTTCCCAGGACTTCACCTTGTACTCTTTTAAGGCTGTGTCAATCTAGGAGCTAAGGTCCATTACTTCCCAGGACTTCACCTTATACTCTTTTAAGGCTGTGTCAACCTGGAAGCTAAGGTTATGTGTGAAAAAAATCTGGCTAACCATTCAGTATACTTGGTAAACTATGTGACTTCAGTTTACCTAATAAAACTACAAATGGCAAACAAAAGCCTGGGTTGTTTCTTTAACCCTCATGCCCCGAAAAGCTGTGTTTTTGGCTGATTGATTGACATTCAGCCCCAGCAGAACATCGTACTGAGCGATGATCACCTGGTGACACTGAGTGCCAATATACAGAGGAGGATCACCCGGGACAGGTCTCAGAGACCCCATTCAGCCCATAGGTTGGGTTATATTAGAGCCCACAACAACAGACAGAGTGGGGTTTTACGACAACAAATTGTGTCTGACATTGGAGTGACTTTTGTAACGAAAACTGTTGCATAGTGTGTTGATGTGGTGGGTATGATTATTTTTTAAAATAAAAATAATTTGAAGTTATTTGGGGTAAAAAAAATAATAAATTTTTTTTTTTTAAACTGTGGACATAATCGCGATGCTAAATAATTTCATAATGCCGTCTCATTGTTATTTGTGCCAAAGTTATGAAACTACTTTTCAATGGTCAAAGGAAAAGTTTATTCTTTGTTGTTTGTATTTAGTTATTACTTCCCTTACATGGAAATAAATCTGTCCAGATTTAGACATTTTGTGACCGGAAACAGTTTTAGGCAATCCTCAGAATAACGGCCACATATTATGGTGGCCAAAAACAGGGCCTCAGTCACATGTAAATTGCCGACTTCCTGCAACTATTGGGTCACCCCTGAGAGTATCTCCCACGCTGCTACGTGCGGTGTGGATTGGGGCTAAACTAGATGGCTGGGACTCACAAGCTAAGCTTCAGGAGATGCTGAAGCTGCTGCTCGTGAGTCCTAGCCATCTAGTTTAGCCTCAATCCACACCGCACGTAGCAGCGTGGGAGATACTCTCGGCGGTTGCGGTACTCGCTGGAAGTGTGCAATTTAAGTTGCTGGAAGTCCGCAATTTGCATGTGACTTCACCCCGTGTGGGTTCCGGGGCCCTACTATGGAAAAAACAAGAATAGACCCACTGCCTATCCAAAAGCATGTCGTAAGTGTCGACTAATTGGGAGCTTCCTTCGAAGTCAGAGTGCATCTGCCAGAGGCAAGGAACCAACAGTCTGCATACAGATCTGTCAAATGGATGCAAATGCAACACTTAGGTTCTGGAACAGGATTGCAGTCCAGAAGTGGACGAACAACCAGAACTTTCTGCCGGAGTTCACAGCCGGTGAACGCGAAGAAGAAGATGACATGTGACTGAGGCCCTGTTAGGGTGTTTGTGTGGCCGCCATAAAATATGGCCGTTATTCGGAGAATAGCCCAGTTTTAATTTCCTTCTGTGACATAATGTCATGAGAGAACCAGGGGACTTCATGCCTGCCTGACTGCTTGATGGTCTAGGCAGGGCTATTCAACTAGTGACCCGCTGGCCAAAGCTGCTAAGTTGTATTCCATTATCATCTTTCTATGCTGAGGCTCTGGCCTGTGGCTCGTAATGATCCCCAAATTCTAAATTTTGGTCAGTGAGTAAACTTAGTTGAATAGGATTTGACCCACCAAGACTAAATTTTTTTTTCTCTTCTTCTAGTTGCTTAGGGCAGAATTTCAGATAATTACTATAATTTTTTTGCTTATAAAATTTAAAAAAAAAAATAGAATTAAGAGATCCATTTTGTTTCCAGATTCTCATATGGTGAAGGAATATGCAATTTTTTTTTTTTTTTCGGAACATGCCTGTCTTCTTGATTTTTTGTTGTTTTCCATATTATGACCATACTGTTGTCCTGTTCAGTCTTGCCTGTGATGTTCAGATTAATCAAGACAACTTGTACACCTCCACAGTTGCTGGCTAACAACGGATAATTATTTTATATGGAGCTTTGTTGGGCCTGCACTTGCAGTCATGTTGGTAAGTTTCAAGCTAGTCAGTCTGTACAATAGTGCTGCGGTCATCAGATGATGTTTTTTGCTGATGTCTGTTCAGAGTAATTTTCATCATCTCTCATCATCATGTGCCTTGCCGACTGGCATGGGCGATCATGCCTCTCCACAATCTGCGATCTCCTGCAGCATGTATCAGTTCGTGTGCCGACATACCTCCATGCCATGCAACAAGACTGTCAAGAATCTTCTCTCATTGTCTTCCTTTATCCCTCCTTCCACAGATCTTTCCAGTGGTCACAATATGTTCTATTTTCCCTCTTCTCATAACATGGCCGAAAAATGATGACTGTCTCCTTCTGATGTCTACTTACTTCTAAACCTTGATGTTCTGGTGCATATGTGCTGTAGTTTTTGCCTCCTTCAGGTTTGTTTCATCGCATTTTTTCCCTGGTAAACATTCATTACTCATATTATGACCGAGCCAAGACAACCTAATTGCATTTTTATGTTCAGATGTTAGGTGTTTTGTTTCTGTGATGTTTAGTACTAAAAATATATATATGTCTGTCTCTCTCTTTCTCTCTCTCTCTCTCTCTCTCTCTCACACACACACACACACACACACACACACACATATATATATATATATATATATATATGTGTGTGTGTGTGTGTGTATATAAAAGAAGCAGTAAATATTTCTAGTACTAAACGTCATAGGCATACACAAATATTGTGTGCCTTCTGAGTAGTGTGTGTTATATTGTGTTTTGTGTATATATTATTTTACCTAACTCTATGAGTCCCAAACAAGACATATTGAGCAAATCACCTTGTCTGTTGAATCCTCTCGTCCACCTGATATGCTCCTTAACTTTTGTCTTTCATCAGATCACACTTGAGAAATATGGCAGGTCCAATGGTTACTACTGTTATATTAACACTTTGAACATAATTCATTGATCAGTTTCATTCACAGTTATTTCTTTATTGGTATCTCTTACAAAACCTTTTTTTTACTGAAAAAGTTAAAGTAATTGGGCAGGTGTCTTTATCTCTCCCATATCAACAATTTGTGTCTGGTAGGTATTGTATATCTTGTATTTATTGTGTCTTGAACATATGATGTTACTTTCAGTAACTGGACATTTCCCCAGATCAGCAGTCATGCGTCTTGTACATATCATGTGTCTTGAATGTACAGTGTCTTGTACATAATTTATGTCTTGTAGATATGATGTTGCTTAGAAAGAAACAATATTGTGTTATCTAAAGTAACTGGACAGGTGCCTGTATCTCTGCCAGATCAACATTGCCATGCTGAGTATTGCTGTGTACACCATGTGCCATCACTCTATCATGTCTGTCACCATGAGGGACAGGTCTAAGGCTGCCAAGTTCAGGTGAGCCTTCTCCTCTTTGAAATACATTTTACAATTTATGTGAGAAGCACTGTATGTTGCCACCATAGGATTCAACCTTTTTTTTTTGGGAGGGGGGGGGGGGGGGGGGGGGGGGGCTGTAATCTTATAAACATCTAATCTTGGGGATATTAGAAGTACTGGGAGAATTAAAATAGAAATTTCAACTAAGTTTTTGGAATATGTATTTTAAAAAATAGATACATACCAAGTAATTGGCTTAAGTCTAATCTGTATTTAAATCTTTACCTAAAATACCTACTTTCTGATATGTTTTAAAACACATGCATACTGAAATGTTGAAATCTTATCTACATTCTTATATTTACCTAACATAAATACATATTGATATTTTGAAATATAAATCTGTATATTTTTACATAGGATACTAATCTGCATTTATAGATTTGCCTAAATTACTTGCATCCTGATATTCCAAAATCCAAATATGCATTTATAGATTTGCCTAAAATACATACATAGTAAAATGCTGAACTGTAATCAGTATTTTTTTTTTTAACTGTGTATCCTTTATAGGATGTTTGCAAAACCAATCCCAACACCATTTGTTTGTTGGGTAGATGATAGTGCTTTGCTAGAAAAATAAAAACAGTCTGCTGCAAAATCACCCACAGCTGGAAATAAAGTGGATATCTTGGAATTACAGGCACTGGTCTGTGTTTATAGCCTCACTTAAAGTACATGTATGTTACTAAAGGACACATAATGAGTAGAGAGAAATATAAGGACAGACAAAAAGGTTGGTGGTGGAAGAGACAGAGACAGGCTGTAAGGAATTATGCTGGATGGTCTAAGGGAATAATATAAACAGAACTGCTCCAGGACACCAGGGATCCTGCTCTGATGCCATAAGGCATTCTGGAGAAAAGAACTAGTAGAAGTAGTAGTTAGTGAAGAACAGTATGTGTTTGTGAAAAGGAATAAATAATACCAAATATACAATATTCTGAAGGAAGCCACACTACTTAGGTGGCTAATATCACAGGTGCTTGTCTGCTGGCCTGAAGATCTGAGGTTTAAATCTTTAGTGAGTGGGACTTTTTATTGTTGAACTTAACCTCCCTGCCTCAAATAGGTTCCGAAAAATATGGGCCTGACAGGATTGACCTGAAGCGGGTGCCTAATTTTGTTAGTTTTTTAATTCCAGCTCTAAAAAAGAGATCAGTTGAGATGCAGAAACACATTGACTTGTGCTGGTCAGGTTATATGAAATATTACTGTGTAAATGCTGAGTGTTACAACATTTGATCCTCAATATATTTATTTTAATATCAAGTGACTTTTATTATAGTACCAAAATGACTGGACTCTCATTATTTTCTAACTTTTTATCACTTTCTTGTTTCTTTGTCTTTCCTCTTGATTCTCTTGCTTTGTGTAAATTACCTGCCATCAGTGTTTTCTTCATCTTTTTCAGATTTTTAACCCAGTTTGAAACCTCTTGTTTTAAATGTTGAAATGGTTGATAATTATGTGATCTGAACACTTACCCAAGATATGAAATGTCATTATCTCTTGCAACGTTCCCCCCCCCCCCCCCTCCCCTCTCCTTTCTTTCATTACAATGTTAATCAAACATGTTGTCATTTTCTCTAAGCTAATTTCTTGAAATTCACAAAAGCATATTTCATAAATTGCTGACATTTGAAATGATAGATCTGACTCGCAGGCCATGCTTTAGAAATATAAACTAGTCACCTATGCTAAGAATGGCTTGTTTCACTTTATAAGGCTCAGATAAGAAACATATCTTAAATTTTGTGTGCAGGATATTTGGGTGTGCGCAGTAATAAGCAGGCTGATAGATTGTCTGCTGCCGTCCCTCTTTGCGTTGAGCTACTTAGCAGTAAAGCGGACGTAGTGAAGACACTGGAATCAAGGAAACAGTGCAGCAAAACAGACAGAGCATTTATGTCTGGAGAATTTTCAGCTAGAAGTGAGAGGAAAATCAGATGATTTTCTACCCACAGAGAAAAATCAGGAACATTTTAGGTAGCTGGAACCACCAGCAAGGTTTTTTTTATTGGCTACTGAGGAAGGGGACAGAGCAAATATGGGAATGTCCTGAGTGCAGTGATGTCAATTTTTGATAAACTCATGCATTCATTCTATTTTAAGTCTGCTCCTTTAATGATGATATTAGAATATGTTTTATGTCTGCACAATTGTATTAATGCTTAATGATGCTTGCACCAATGCAGCGTTATGGAGAATCTCAGTAGCATGAAGACTTTTGCATCTCCGAAATTGCGCTTTCCAGACTTACCGTAAGAAGTTTCATGCAGTGTCTGTGCACTGTTTCTCATTTTGTTTGCTGCAGTTTATTTAAAGCACTATTTTGTAGTCTGTGACATTTTAAATGTGAAATAATCATGTATCATTATGTTGACTTATTTCACATCTGATGATATGTTTTTCATGTACTTTGTTTATATGTTTTTTATTTAGTGTTACATAAGTTTCCCACAGAGCCTTGGGTGTGCTTTGGAATGTGTATGTGAAGTTTTCTGCTGTGATTATAGGTTCTGTGTAGGAACAGAAAAGTAATGAAATGCAAACTGGCACACAGAAAGCACATACATGCGCATTGTAATTATTAGTTTGCTTTTTACTGTGATCTTTTGTTTTATTGTGTATTTTGATCATTTTTTATTATTAGAGATTTTTTAAGTATCCAGAAACCATGAGTTGTAAACCCTTTGGCTTGGTACTATGGATATCGTACCCCTTCAGCCTTGATTCCATGATAGATACTGTAAATCTGGGAGAAATATTGCTTTTCTGCCTACCCCCAGGTGTGAAACCCAACCGCAAGGAGTTCGTCACCCGGTCGACGTGCAGAGGGTTTTAACCAACTGAGCTAGTCCCTGTATATGTATACACTTTTTTGCATACAAAGTTAATGATCAGACATTCTACTGAGTGAAACACAATTATCACCCTCATATATTAATAATGTCATCACAGTGCCAGTTGGCACTTTCTCTGGCTTTTTTTGGGGGGGGGGGGGGGGGGGGGGCATACATGAAGTAACAAATATTTTATTTTTAGTGAATGTTCTTCTTCTCAACTTTTTTTTTTTCTTGACATTTTTTTTTAAACACTGTTTTGATTTTCCAGTGAGATTCAAGTTTCTGATTCTCGCTCTTCTGGTTGTCTCAGGTATAGGCGATACTTTCGTAGAGTTTATTTGCATCTTGTTCATAGTATGGCTCACACTCTAAGTCCTAGTCCTCCTTCTTTGCTATGTGTCTTGAATAATATGACACCACAAGGCATTCTTTCTAAGTGGGCAAATCATTTTCTTTTCAAGTAATAAACCAAAGAAATTCTCAGTGTAAGCTTAGGGAAGGAAGGTTTGGTCCATGTAAACCTGTTGTTGTCTTCAGTATAAGTAATCCCTTTACACCTCAGTGGTGCATCTGGCGTATGAGGTTGCACTCATATATTATAGACCAAACAGCCCTCGATTGGGTGATGTTGTCAACATCAAGTCAGCCACCTTCACTTCCCAGCACTTTACTTGGTACCATTTAAAACTAGGTTGACCTGGGAGCCAAGGTCATGTTATAAAAAAAATTAAGTACAATATGATCCACAGAAAGCATCTGGGCACCATTTTGGCTCCTTTTCTTCAGTACAATTATTGAAATGTTTAGTCTTTAACCTCAGTGGAAAGGATAGAGAGTTTTTTAACCGCATGTCAAGACAAGCTGAGTGACCCTGATTTTTATTTAACAGTAGACATCCCTTTCTTTCCTATTTACGGGTATCTCTTATCTGTCTTCCTTACCCTCATCTTTCTGTCTCTCATCATCTCTATCTCTTATCCCTCCCTTTATCGCTGTTTACATTTCGCTCATTTACTTCTATCCAGCTCAATTTTTTCCTTCTGTCTCTACTCTTTTTTATTCTTTTTTTCCTTCTCTTTATCTCACTTTTCCTCCTCCTTTCTCTCTCCTTGCTATATCCCTAATTGTTTCTATGCTCCCACCCCTTACCCCCACGTCTCTCCCCACATTCTCAAGATCTTTCCTTCTCATAACTAAAGGACCCTTTTCCAGGCCTTCAGATGTATTGGGCATATAGGGCTAGACCTATATTTTATAGACCAGTCGGCACTTGGTGTGTGATGTGGTCAACGCCACACTGACCGCCTTTACTTCCAAGGACTGCACTGGTACCCACTGAAGGCTGGGTCCACCAGTTAGCCTGGGTCATTTGTGAAGAAGGCCCAGTTCTATCAGGACCCAAACCCAAGACCTTCCGATCGGCAGGCGAGCATCTAGCCGCTACACCACAGTGACTTCCTCATTCCGTCTCATAATATTTAAAATTGTAAATTTGTTTTTTTCAATATTTAATATTCCCAGAAGCATTCAGTTTTTCAGTTTGGTTACATATTAACTTTTTTATGTGTAGTGATTGATATTATGTTCTATCTGCTTTGTGCCACTTTCTTGATATGTGTGTGGAATGCTTTTTTTATTTTTATTTACATTTTTATTTCATCGTTTGTGTGAATTAGACCTTAGTTCACTCGTATATGTACAGATAAACTATTGTCTGTATGCCTGATAATGAAGAGATTGTAATTAAAATTTAATTTCATGCTGTAAAATATGTTTGGCAAAAATACTTCAAAGATGGGCTTAAAATTCCATAGAGCATCCAAAATCAGTAACAAAGATATTTTGAAAGATGCTAACATGTTAAAACAGCATTTTGTAAACATCAGAAACTAACAGTAATCACATTTTAGCCACATTATAATTTACGAATAACAGGAACATAAACAAGAAAGTTTTGTGAAAAGAGATAGTGTGAGGCAAGAAGATTCTTGGTAGCGATTGTCTTGGCAGGAAGGGTTGTCAGCACATAAATTGATACATGTGTTGGAGATCACAAAATATGGAGAAGCCGAAATGCCCAAACCAGTCGTCAGACCAGTTATTTGTGGTGATGAAACGAGGGGGTTTCAGTACATTGATGTTTTCTTCATCCTCTTCTGTCTCATGTGTCTGCAGGTTTACAGCCTTTTGTTGTAGTCTTTTACACAATTGGCTGCCAAAACAAGAAGTCTGAGTTCAGTTCTAAGCAAAGATTCGATTATTCTCTCCAGCATTTCTGGGATTGATTAGCCTCATTCAAATAAGGAATTATCAGTTCAAGAGTTTACTGAAAATTGTCTGGAAAGGAAAGCTGATGAAGTTTGGAACAAGAACTCAGCTTGCAACTCATGGCCTAGATTGTACAAGGGCCTGACACTTTACACCTCATCTGCACAATGTTTTAAGACTATCTCAATAGTCTTTTTTATGAAATCTGTCATATTCATAACACAAAAAGTATGAACAGGACAATATTTCAAATAATAATAATACAAATTGCACAGATATCTGGGGGAAGAGGGGGGGGGGGGGTGCTTTAGGTACTAGAGTGTGCACCTTTGTGTGTGTGTGCGTGTTTGTTTTTTTAGGTGTAAAATACCAGTAACCGTGAATAAGTCCAAAGAGCGAGACGTATATCCATTTGAGTGATTATTCTCCATTGAGAAATAAAACAGAAAAGAAGAGAAAGGAAAACTTTCTCAAACATTAAAGACAGTATCAGAGCAGTGTGGACATGCAAAATACACATATAAAGCAATGTAGTTAAACTCATTGTATTTGTAGGAGTCATGTCTTTAGTTTAGTTACCAATACGGTGGTCCTCGGCTCCATTCTTTGCAGTGAGTGCCTATTTTGAGTTTTATCTGACCAGAACATCTGTGAGGTCAACCAAGCTGAAACAGATAGGTAACCGATATTTCAGTGGGATCAGCCTAACCTCATAATTTAGGTACCATCGATTTCGCAGGAAGTCAAGGTGGTGGGTGTAACGGTGTTGTTAACTCATGTGTGCTTCTTGGTCGCCAGTAACATGAGTGTAACATCATATCCTTGGTATGCCTCACTAGCATGTACTTTGCTCTCAGCTTGACTTAGACTGGTGTAATTTTGCATATGTTTTTTGTTATCTTTTATAGATGTTTGCTGTGTTATGTTGGTGCCAAAAGTGGTTTTTTTAAATCATTCATTCATGAAATCAGTTCATATAAGGAACAGTAGATAGAAAGGAAGAAGTTTCTGTGTAGTGTAATTAAACAGTATTATCTTGTTTATCCACTGGTGGAACCAGTAGAAGAACTGATTAGTTCCCTATACTTGTTTGGACCTTGACACAAGGTACTGTTGGGAGTTGCAGTTTGCCATGGCTTTGGGTGTTTTACACTTCCTAATGTGTATCATTATAAGATGTTATCAGTGTTGTCAATTCATCCATTTTGCACATTGGTTTTTCCCATGCCCTGTAAGTCATTATTCTAATTTAAAATTATAATTTTTGTTACAAGAAAGGCCTCTTGCTTATTTATCATGTGTATCTGCTTGCAATTTTGAGCATCAGTATCATATTTGCTCAATTCTTTTACAGATCCTGGGTGAAAGGAGCAGTTGTGCTTGTTGTTCTGCTTGGTCTGACTTGGATTCTTGGAGTCCTGTACTTAAATGAAGAATCAGTGGTCATCGCTTACTTCTTCACTGTGCTCAACAGTCTCCAGGGATTGTTCATTTTTGTCTTCCATTGCCTGAAGAATGAAAAAGTGAGTAACAGAGAAACCTTGCAGATACATAAGCCTGTAACCTCATTGCCATGTTGTTTGAAATAGAGTTGAGAGAGTTTGTGAATTATCATCAGCTGCCTTGCAGACTGACCATGGGCAATCTTGCCTCTCCACAATCTGCGATCTTCAACAGCATCTATCATTTTGTGTGCTGTCACCCCTCCATGCTATGACACAAGGCTGTCAAGAATGGTTTCATGTTGTTTTCCTCTTTCTCTTTTTCTACAGATCTTTGCCGTGGTCTCATGTTTGAGTATCCTTCTTCTCATAAGATGACCACAATTTTTTACTATCATAATATCTGACCATAAACAGGGAAAATCTACAGGTCACAGGACAGTCTGATTTTTCAGGGGGTGGTAGATGGAGCTTATAGTGTAGTAATTTGGCATTTCAGTTGCCATGCAGTTTTGTTCTGTACAGTTTTCACTTTTCTGTGCTTCTGTTTTGTGTGCTGTGTATTTTGCTGGGCATTCTTTTCTCCCTCTTTTTGTGTGTGTGTGTGTGGTCTGTGCGCAACTAGGAGGAAGCTGCTTTTGTGTGTGTGTGGTCTCTGTGTGCAACTAGGAGGATGCTGCTTTTGTGTGTGTGTGTGGTCTGTGTGTGCAACTAGGAGGAAGCTGCTTTTGTGTGTGTGTGTGGTCTGTGTGCAACTAGGAGGATGCTGCTTTTGTGTGTGTGTGTGGTCTGTGTGCAACTAGGAGGATGCTGCTTTTGTGTGTGTGTGTGGTCTGTGTGCAACTAGGATGATGCTGCTTTTGTGTGTGTGTGTGGTCTGTGTGCAACTAGGAGGAAGCTGCTTTTGTGTGTGTGTGTGGTCTGTGTGCAACTAGGAGGAAGCTGCTTTTGTGTGTGTGTGGACTCTGTGTGCAACTAGGAGGATGCTGCTTTTGTGTGTGTGTGTTTTGTTGTTGTTGTTGTTGCTGGGGAGAAGGATGCCGTTTTGCAGTTTGTTTGTGTAAAACTCTGTGTGCAGTCGGCATGATAATTAGCCAGTTGGGGTACTTGGATGGCCCTATAAAGGCCACTCATTCTAGATGTATACTGCTGCGTTCATAAATTGACTATCAGAACAGTTTTACACATTAGTAGATCTGGAGAGGTATTTGCTAATTTTGCTAAATACTGGAAGAAGCATCTCTGCTTTTCTGTCTGGGACACAGAACATAAAGTGATCACCTGTTTCGCGACAGATGCCACCAAATACCCACTGCTGTGGAAACACTGATACCACATGATTTTTCCACCTTGTTAACAGACTTTCATCAATTTCAACAGTGGTGTTCTCTCCGCCAATGACTGCATGATTCAATAATAATTTATAGGCACAAACCTCCCATAAGTAGTTGCTCCACTCGACAGTTGTTTTCTTTAACATGCCCAGCTTTACTTGGCAAAATTCAATGCACGTTAACTCGTGAGACTAGTAGTACGGAAATAGAATGTAAGGCGGGTCTTCCAGCCATGTTTGTTGCCTTAATGTATGTTCAGACAACAGGTCGACTTTCCACACTGTCATTGGTCGTAGCTTTCGGTCAACAATAACGCCATAGCATGATTGTTGCCACAACATCTTGTACTATGCAGAATGTTGTGATGTTGCAGGAAAGCAACGTTGCTCTTTTTGTCAGGCACTGATGCTGCTAATTAAAGGAAATTCATGGGGATAAAGACTGAACACAAGCTGCTGGAGAGAAACCGCAGGAAAAAGAAATACTCAAGAATCTTTGATAATGCCTTGGAAGACACACAGAATGCCGGGAAACAAAAAACGCAGACAGGGTGGGAAACTCGGTCTTACCACCCTAAAAAATATTGGACTGTCCTGTGACATCATATGTGGTCAGCTATTAGGAAAGAACCCACTATTTTATTGGGAATAAGGCTAATATTAGTACTTGTTAATTTTTATTTCAGTCGTAAGTTTTATTAATTTTTTTCATTAGCTGTGACATCATAGCATTTAGAATTATGCATAAGCACTTTGACCATTCATTTTCAAGTGTTCCATGCCACAGTGATCTGTTCTCTATTCTGCATTGTTTGTGTGCTCTCAAAGGGCCTTGACCATATCTAACTTGTTATACATCAACCAACCACTATATGGTGCAGAAGCAATTAATCTGTTTGCCTATTCATTTCCCAACATACCAGCATGCTGGAAGAAAAGGTCTAATGGAGGATGCTTGCCATCTGTAACCTCCAGAGTGATTTTATGCCACTTTTACTAAAATTGCTTATGTTAGACAGGTCTGAGTGCCCAATTCTTAACCCTTTGAAAATAAAGTTTGTTCATTCATTATATAATATAAACAAATCTAAACAATGCTGCTGTTACCCTGCTTATAAACCAGATCATCTTGGGAACACTAATAAATCATACATTCCACCATTGGTCACTTGTGTCACTCCAGGAATATAGGAATATATTCAGATTGACACTACAGTGGCTCTATTGTTGATTGATAAGTAATTGCTTATCCTTGCTAGGGTGTTGCAGAACCAACCCCAGCAAATTGTGACTATTTGGTTTTACTAGGCAATTTTATGTTCAGTAGTTTGCCATTGACAGATCCTGTACTGATCAGATAGCCACATTACGTATTATAATAGAGCAAAGCATTGAACTGAACTCACCACTTTACATTGGATTTATAGACTATGAAAAAGCATTTGACAGCATTGATAGGGAATCTCTCTGGAAATTGATGGGGCACTATGGAATCCCACAGAAAATTATCAACTTAGTAAAGGCAACATATAAAGACATGAAATGTCGAGTTCTTCATGAGGGAAAGCTAACAGATGATATTGCTCTTCTGTCCCATTCACGGAATCAGATGCAAGATAAATTAAATATACTTAATGCGAGATCAAAGCAGCTTGGTCTGAAAATCCATAAAGGAAAGACAAAGATAATGAGAATAAATCAGGCAAATAGTAATGTGGTTTCTCTTAATGGCACCCCACTCCAAGACGTGGGCAGTAATGTAGATAGAGATGGAGGAACTGATAGAGATATTAAAATAAGAATACAAAAGGCAAGAGGGGTTTTCATAGCACTAGGGAATTTGTGGAGGTCAAAAGAAATTAAAAGAAAAACTAAACTAAAAATTTTTAATTCTAATGTCAAATCAGTACTATTGTATGGGGCGGAAACATGGAGAACAACCAAGGCAATTACTAATAAATTACAGACATTCATTAACTGGTGCCTGCGCAGAATAGAGGGAATAAAATGGTATGATAGAATAACTAATGTAGAACTTTGGGAGAGAACTAAACAGGCTCCAGTGGATCAGGAAGTGAGGAAAAGATGCTGGCGTTGGATAGGACACACACTGAGAAAACAGGAGAACAGCATAACTAGAATGTCTTTGCATTGGAACCCACAGGGGCATAGGAATAAAGGAAGGCCAAAAAACACATGGAGAAGAGAGCTGGAGAACGAGGTTAGAAAGATTGGGAGGGCATGGGGAGAGCTCCATGCAGTGGCCAAGGATAGAATGACTTGGCGTGAGTTGGTTGAGGGCCTATGCTCCATTGGGGGATAGAAAGGCAGAAGAAGAAGAAGTTTGCCATTGCTTACACAAAGTGTGTAAACACTGACCTGTTGTTGATATGTTATTATAATATAACACTTTAACCTTCCAGTTTTATTCTCACATGGTTAATTTGTATCTTTTGTTGCTGCCTTTCTCAAGGATTTAACACTTCCTATTACATTTCTGTGATTATTTGCAGTTAAAACCAATTTTATTTAAGATTTCATTATCCGCTCAGGTCCAGAAAGAATACAGAAAAGTTGTTCGTCGCACCTCCTGGCTGCCAGACTGTATTCGGATCAACTATGGGGGATATAGTGGAATGGCTTCCAACTCACAGGTTGCATCATCAGACTCCAGAAATGTAAGATTGAATATTATTTTTTAGCAGAGCTACCAAACGTGCCATTGTTAGTGTCACCAACAGACCACAAGTAAAAAATACTTGGTTATTATCACTACTACCATGAGACAGTACATGAAAATAGAAGCAAAATAACCACCTTGTAACTATAACAGTTATCAGCATCATCAGTTCTTGTTATGCCTAGTGGCACATGAGGCTTCAGAGAGGACTTTCCATGCTTTCCTGTCCTGTGCAATCTTCAGTGCAGTTTTCCATGTCATAGATGCCGCACTCAAGTCACTTTCCATCGTCGTCTCCATGTTGTTTTTGGGCGCCCCTGTTTTCTCTTTCCCTCTGGTGTCCATGTGAGAGCTGTTTTGGCGGGTATATCAGGATTCATTCTCATAATATGGCCAAGCCATTTCCATCTTCTCTTGGTTATCATACTGTTTAAAGTTTCTTGGTTTGTGACTTGAAGTAGTTTAGTGTTTGAGATTGTATCCGGCCAGAAAATTTTGATAATTTTACGTAGAAAGGTGGACAGCTTGTGTGCATCCTTTTTAGTCATTCTCCAGCATTCCGCTCCATAAAGAAAATAAATGCTCTTGTAGAGTCACAGTTTTGTTCCTCTGCAGTAATTGTTGGATTTCCAGATTTGCCTCATCCTTCCAAAAGCAGCTCTAGCTTTGTTCAGACGTGACTGTATGTCCTCTTCGGTCCCTACAGGCAGGGACACTACACTGCAAAGATACGTAAAATGTTCTACATTTTCAAGAGTTTTGTTTTTTATGGTCACTGGTTGTTGGTTTGGACTGCTTGTCATGATCTTAGTTTTCGTTGTATTTATTCTCAGTCCCACCATTTCTGCTGTGCTGTGTAGTCTGTTACTTTTTTCTTGTATATGTTCATGTTTATGTGATAGGAGTGCTATATTATTTGCAAAATCAAGGTCCTCAAGCATGGTGAATGGAGTCCATCGTATGCCTCTAAATGTCATGTCTACTGTGTTCTTTAGTATCCAATCAATCACAAGGTTGAAGAGGAGAGATGACATAACACATCCCTGTCTTACACCTGTCTTTACTGGGAAAGATGTATTGTAATTTTTTATACTGCAGGAAAAGTCTTTATTATAGAAGAGAGCAATTATGTTGACTATTTTTTCTGGAATTGCATAATGTCGTAAAATTTTCCATAGACTGTCTCTATAGACGCTGTCAAAAGCTTTTTCAAAGTCCACAAAATTTATGTATATACTTCTCTGCCATTCATTGCATTGTTCTAAAACGTTACGTATGGTGAAGATGTGCTCAGTTATTCCTCTGCTCTTTCTCAATCCTGCTTGTTCCACTTGTAGGCATTTATCTACTCCTTTTTCAAGCTGCATTATGATGATTTTACAAAATATTTTGCTTGGTACTGAGAGTAGAGTAATTCCTCTCCAATTATTTCAGTCTGTTAAGTCTCCTTTTTGGGGGATTTGGACTATTGTTTCTTCAGTCCAGTCATCAGGCAACACTTCTTTTTCACAAATATCCTTGAACAATGGTTCTAGAATGCTAGCAGTTGTGTTGGGATCTACTTTGAGAAGTTCTGCTGGCAGTTCATCTTTGCCTGGTGCTTTGTTGTTCTTTAAAGTGTGGATAGCTTTAAGGATTTCTTGTTTGCTTGGTGGTTCAGTAATAATGTCAATGTCCTGAGAGGCTGGTTGAAAATCTGGGGGATTTTCAGGATCAGGTCTGTTCAAGAGGTTGGAGAAGTATTCAGTCCACTGCATGTCTTGTTTTTGTTCTGTGGTGAGCAGTCTGCCTTGGTTATCTCTGATGGGTGTGCTGTGATAATTGTTTCTGCTTCCACAAATTTGCTGGGTAATTTTGCGTAGGGTTTGTAGATCATGTGCTTTAGCAGCATTTTCTGCTGTTTCTGCTAGATTTTCCATACATCTTCTTTTGTCAGCTCTGGCACTTTTATTTGTCATTTTATTTAGTTCGCTATATTCTAACATTAGTTTGTCTTTCTGATGTTCTGATTTAGTGTGATTTATGAGGCTCTTTATTCTTTTTCGCTTGGCAATATAGTCCATGGTTTGACTGCTTATCCATTCTTTGTGATGTTGTTTCCTGGTTCCTAATGTGTTGTTTGCTAGTTGATTTGTATGTTTCTTTGATCTGGTTCCATCTGTCCTGAAGGCTGATTGCATTTTGAGGTCTGGGTCACTTGATAGGGTTTAAAATCTATTCTTGAGTTCTGCTATAAATTTAGTGGCAATGTCTTTTTCTCTTAAAAGGTTAACATTGTAACGTGCTGTCTGTGTTCTAACTTGCGTGTGAATTTTTTTCTGTTTAAGTCTTAGTAGAGCAACTACAAGGTGATGATCGCTTTCTACGTCTGCTCTCTTTTGATACGCACATCGAGTAGGGACCCACGCCATTTTCTGTTTACCATGAAATGGTCGATCTGGTTTACATCTCTTCTGTTTGGGGATATCCATGTAAGCTTGTGTATATTCTTTTGAGGAAACAGTGTTCCTCCTATAACAAGTCTGTTCGCTGTGCAGAAGTCGCTCAGTCTATCCCCGTTGTCATTAATTGTACCACATCCTTGATTTCCCATTAATAGTTCTCTATTCAAGTTGTTGTTACCAACTTTTGTATTGAGATCTCCCATAATGCATAGAATATCATGGGCTGCTACTTTATCTACTACCTCTTGCAGTCTCCTATAGAATGTTTCTTTATCTTCGTCTTCAGCTTCATTAGTCGGTGCATAGCATTGGATGATTGTAAGTTTGGCATGTATCCCATTGAATCGTGCTGTCATAATTCTTTCAGTAATTGGATGCCACTCGATGAGATGTTTGTGCATACCTTTCTGTAAAATGAGTGCCACGCCTGCAGAATGTTGGTTATCATCTCTTCCAGAGTTTATTATGGTTTCTCCTGTACCTGTTGTGGATTGTCCAAACCCTGTCCACCTGCTTTCACTAATTTCAAGAATATGCAGTTTATAATTCTGCATTTTTTAAATTACTTATAACAGTTATAGCAGCTTGAAAATGGAGGTGAAAAATCAAAGTTATAACGTACAGTTTATCATCATAAGTGCCTTGCCAGCTGGTCTGGACAATCATGCCTCTCCACAATCCGTGATCCGCAAATGTGTGTATCAGTTTACTTGCTGACACCCTTCCCTGCCATGACAAAAGGCTTACAGTTATAGTGACAAGGACAGAAACATTAATATAACTTATCAGTTACTGCAACACAGCAAGAAAATGTAGGCAGAATATGTAGCTTGTAAGTATAACAGCTGTCACTAGCACTGGGGGGTGGGGGGGGGGGGGGGATTACCAAAGATAGATACTACATTACTTAACTAAGGCAACAAAAAGTACAGTTAACACAGTTCACAAACGGTTAAAAAAATGCTGCAGTTAGTTCTGCAATGTCTTGTAAAGGATACTCAAGTAACTTTAACACCATTTGCAGAATACATTTCAAGGTGTTTATACCAGTTTTAGTTATAGCTGACAGTATAGGTAGGTCTACTTGATAAATATCACATAAGCATATTCTTCCACACCAAGTTTTTCAACCCATTTATCGGTTCAGTTACAAGAATGAAAACATAAATGCCTAAGGAAATTTATGAATATTAAATAGGGTTGAGTTTCAAGAAGGATAAAGAAATAAGAAAAACATCTAGACAATTTGTATCAACAGTTGTAAGAAATAAAAGACGTAGTATACTGGGTACATATGGAGAAGCTTAAAAATAATAACTAAAATTGCACCAAAACAGAAAACAAGTGGACTCAGGAAACAAGATTTAAAAAAAAAAACTAATTTGGCCGTTGTTGAAACAAGGCATAGGTGCTGGAACGAAATCCATCCATGATACTGTAAGAATTGGACAGGACAGAATGCTAGAGAGAGCACGATTTGATTTATAGCGGTACAAAAGGATGATGATGATGAATTTGTGAATTATTTCTGATTTATTGTAAGCCACCTGTGAAAAAAATGATATTGCTTGTGTATGTATACTTATCTGATATTCTGTATTTATGTCTGACACTTTTGTCTATTTAATATTGCTTAGATTATGGCATCTTCGCCTAAATTTCTCAAAAATGATGCTTTTGGGCTCAGTAGAGGAGAAGAGGCAGATATAGAAAGAGATGAATAAAGAATTTTGATGAATGGACAGGGCCTGTAACATACAAACATGAAGTCCATTGCAACTGACTGATATAGGTGGAGGAAACTGGTCAGTCAGCAACACCTGGTGACCCGATGACATGCAGTATTATGGGACTAAAGATGATTCGATTATGAGACATCCATGTCATATTTAAAATCTTAAACTCATCTCTATGCTTCATGAAATGTGGACCACACGCTATCCATCACGAGGGGATAGGTTGTAAATAGGGTCCCAGTGGAACCGTGATGCCTGATACAAGTCTCCTAATGTCTCTTAGTCTCTCCTGCTCAAGGCTACCTCACCTTCCCCTAGTAGCCTCTGTTCTCTCTTGTAATCCAGTAAAATGTTAGGGCTTCAACCCCTCAGTGAGAAACTGGGTGATACAGTAAATGATGTAAAGATAAAATCAAATTCTGTTGGCCAGATACTGAGTTCAGTGCATGGTGGAACATAAGCTATGAACTTCATTCAGAATGCTTGTTGTTTGTGCTTCTGAACACTCACGTTATAAACTGCATATTCAGAAAATATTCATAGTGGCTGGTTACCGCAGAATGGGCAGTATGCCTTATGCAGTAATTTGTGTGCACATGCTGGTTTCTTATAACTAGTGCTTCCATTAACTATAAATAGCTATTCTAGCGATAGATTTTAGTTGACTGCCGCCTTGCGCATGTGATGCATGTGCATACTGTTGGATTTTTTTCTGGGAATGATGTCTGATTTTTCACATAAAAAAGGGATGGGCAGTTTGTTTCTTCCTGATATAGGAGTGTAGCAATTATGGAGTCACCCATTTTTGATGAAGCTGGAACTCAGGCTGATAGGTCATAAATATACAGAAAATGAACTGAGATGTATCATTAGTTACACTTTTTCTTTATTTAATGTACCTGCTGTTTACTTTTTCCAGTACCTTTCCAAGTTGTTTGGTCAGAAGAAAAATGAGCACTCAACTGCATCAACTAACAGTTCTGCTAGGCCATTCTTGAGCAAAGGTAGGCTTAACATTGTTAGCTAAACTGTTACATTCTGTTTTCTCCCCAATCACAGCCATTATACATAACAGTTTTCTGTTTCAGAACAGATAGAATATAACAACATACAAGAGAGGGAAATAACTATTGACATTCAGTCCACAGCTGGTACTTTTTTTTTTAAACCTGACCATATTTGGAGTCAGTGAAAACTGGTAAATTGGCTATGGGGAGGAAACAGTGAGGAAGGGAGCTGGTCCTTCTACCACATATACACACATTACTAACAGTTAGTGTAGAGGAAGTTTGTTATTTCACACTCTAGTCGGCTCTGTGGCTAAGTCAATGCGAAAGCTTCGTAATGCCGGGTCGATCCCAGCTGCGGGCCATGCGCCTTGCGTCGGTTTCAACAATGGTATCGGGGGGGGGGGGGGGGGTTACGTTCTGCAACATCCTGTAAAGGATACGCAACTAACCTTTTTTGGTGGCAGTATCTGTTAAGAGATCAGTATCGTAACAGAAGGTGATACATAATGACAGAGAACACCACCTTAAACACACTAGTCTTAAATTCTGTCCCTGATCTTCTCCGACGTTTTGTAGTTATGGTAGTAGCTGCTGCTGCTGCTGTAGTTGTAGTGGTAGTTTTTTGCCCACTAGGACATCACACAAGCGATAAACATCACATGAACAAAGTTCCACCATGTGGATGAGGATCACCTGTGGAGAGGTCCCAGAAACTGTGTTCAGCCATTAGACCATATTTATGGTCGGGCTATATTGCGGCCTCTGGCGAGAGCCAGGGTGGGGCTTCAAAATTACAAAAATTGCATCTCACAAGGAGATGACAGGATGACCTGTAGTTCTGGGGGTTATTTTGGACTATTTAGGCCAGTCCTGCAGATGTTTTGTGATAATCCTACATTAGTGTGTTTTTTAAATATGTGCACAGACAGCTAAATGTACTAGTGACTTTCTTTTTACCACAGCTCAACAAAGAAGAAGTGACACAGAACACTCAAGCAAAGACTCCAGTAATATTCCATCCTCCCTCAATGGCTACGTGTATGACCCTAGCTACTATGTCAATGGTAATGGCAAAGTTCATTCTCCATTTCTGGGCAGTAGTCCTAGTGACTGCACACGTGCTGCAGCAGACGGCAGTTATGAAGTTGTGGAAGACATGGCTGTGGACCTGTCCCTGTACATGGACTGTTCAGTTGTTGATTCAGAGTTCCTTTCTGAGTACTGTCAGCACAACATGCAGGTAATTGATCTGTCTAGTCATTTTTAATATGAGACCATTTCAGAATTGTTCAATCAGCAACTGCATACAGGAAACCTACCACAGTGAACAAAGCATAAACTTTAACAGATATAATACATAGACACCTTGTATAAAAGATATAATACATAGACACCTTGTATAAAAGAGATAATACATAGACACCTTGTATAAAAGAGATAATACATAGACACCTTGAATAAAACATATAATACATAGACACCTTGTATAAAAGATATAATACATAGACACCTTGTATAAAACATATAATACATAGACACCTTGTATAAAAGATATAATACATAGACACCTTGTATAAAAGATATAATACATAGACACCTTGTATAAAACATATAATACATAGACACCTTGTATAAAAGATATAATACATAGACACCTTGAATAAAACATATAATACATAGACACCTTGTATAAAAGATATAATACATAGACACCTTGTATAAAACATATAATACATAGACACCTTGTATAAAAGATATAATACATAGACACCTTGTATAAAACATATAATACATAGACACCTTGTATAAAAGATATAATACATAGACACCTTGTATAAAACATATTATACATAGACACCTTGTATAAAAGAGATAATACATAGACACCTTGTATAAAACATATAATACATAGACACCTTGTATAAAAGAGATAATACATAGACACCTTGTATAAAACATATAATACATAGACACCTTGTATAAAAGAGATAATACATAGACACCTTGAATAAAACATATAATACATAGACACCTTGTATAAAAGATATAATACATAGACACCTTGTATAAAACATATTATACATAGACACCTTGTATAAAAGAGATAATACATAGACACCTTGTATAACAGAGATAATACATAGACACCTTGTATAAAAGATATAATACATAGACACCTTGTATAAAAGATATAATACATAGACACCTTGTATAAAAGAGATAATACATAGACACCTTGTATAAAAGAGATAATACATAGACACCTTGTATAAAAGAGATAATACATAGACACCTTGTATAAAACATATAATACATAGACACCTTGTATAAAAGAGATAATACATAGACACCTTGTATAACAGAGATAATACATAGACACCTTGTATAAAAGATATAATACATAGACACCTTGTATAAAAGATATAATACATAGACACCTTGTATAAAAGATTTAATACATAGACACCTTGTATAAAAGAGATAATACATAGACACCTTGTATAAAAGAGATAATACATAGACACCTTGTATAAAAGATACACTGTGTTTGATTTTGAAATAAGAGGTCAGGTAAGGTAAACATTAACCAAGCTGCAACTTGCACTTTTGGTATTGAACTCTAAAGGATGCCCCTCAGTGATATAGGATTTGAAATAAGTAAACTGACAATAGAATACATGCTGGGGAAAGACAGTTTTAAAGAATTGGAAGGAAGGGTTAAACAGTATATCGCATGAGATGTTAATCTATAGATAGCTCAAATCTCCTGCTGGCTGCGGAACAATACATGGAAGACTTTGGTGCGGTAAGTTAGCCTATGGCTCTGGGCTGTGTAACATTTTGATATAGTAAGATAGATTATGGCTCTTCGTTGATTATACAACCTAGTCAGACTCTCACAATCAGTAGTGTAGTTATACCAGGGTACTTCCCTAGTACTGTTTAAACTAACCAGTATGCAGCCTGCCTTACTGAATGGCACAGAATATCCTGGGACTGTTTATTTTACAACTTCAACCCTGCCCACAACTCAGCCAAGTTCATTAATAACCTTCACTGTCTTATGTCAGCCAAACTAGCCACCTTGTTGGGTAGAAAGAGTTCGCCAGAGCTGTGGACACTGTGAAGTTGTAAGCACTGCCCAATGCACTAGAATAGAGAAATATCATCTGAAGGTCAGTCCCTGCCACCAGACTTCTGCTCCAGTAGCTGATGGTCAAGGAGTTCAGGTGCATAATACAAGGTCTGACAACTAAGTAATGAGACTGATTTTATTAAAGCCAAGACAAAAATGCCATCTGTGAAGCAAAGCATGGAATCTAAAGAGGCAACATTCATCTATGATCTGGCAACATTTCATCGCTGCTCAATAGGCAGACAACAAACAAGCCGCCATTTTGTTGACCTAGTCAGAGGTGCATTGTTACATAATCAGCACACAGCAAAAAGCTAACATTAAATTCTTTTTAAAACTCAGAAAACGCGCCATTGAAACAGTTGAATGGGGATAACTGTTTATCTTGTGCACAAATTTTCAGGTGGTACTCACGATTCAAAAGTGGTGTGGAAATAATTACTAATGCACCTAGACCTGGACACCAAATTTCTGTTCGTAATGATGAACTCATTCCAAAAGTCAGAAAGGATACAAGAAGATCATTGTTTTACTGTGAGGATGATGGCAGATGAATCTGGTGTTAATTGAGAGATCATTCATAACATTTTAGTGCAAGATTTTGACAAGAAAAAAGTTGCTTGCCGGTTTGTACCACATTCATTGTCTGATGACCAAAGACAAAACATGACCGGGTTGAGTACCCGAGACATCATCAAAACAAGAATGTTTGGCCCAAAAACAAGTGTGTGTTTTCAGCCTTCCGTCCTGTTCCCAAGATTTGTCTCCCTGTGATTATTTTATGTTCCCAAAATAAAAGTTGCTATTGAAAGGGCGCTTTTTTAACGATATTGATGACATCCAAAGGGCCATAACATCAACTTTAATAGCTATAATAACAGAGGAACTACAGAAGTCTTTCCAGTGTTTGTTACATCGTGCCACTTGCTGTATCAATGCACAAGAAAGTTACATTGAATCAGATACAGGTTATAGCTTCAACTGTTGATTATTTTAATATTTTACGGAATTAGTCTCATTACTTAATTTTCTGACCTTGTATAAGAATATTGTGGTTTTTTTTATGGATGAAGACTCTTACAAATAGATCTCTTCTTCAAAAACCTTGTGTCACCCCTTAGTGCATTATTAATCACCATCCTTTTTAGGATATCATTTTTTGTTATTTGAAGCCCCAGCTAGGGGCCGCAATATAGCCCGGCCATAAATATGGCCTGATGGCTAACGCGGTTTCTGGGAACTCTCCGCGATGATCCTCATCCACATGGTGGCACATTGTGTCATTGGATGTTTATCGCTTGTGTGGTGTCCTGGTGGGGTAGAAAGTCAGTCAGTCAGTCAGTCAGTCCCCTTTGTGCATTGTCCCGACATCTCCTTGTGAGGTGCAATTTTTTTTAATTTAAAGCCCCACCCTGGCTCTTACCAGGGGCCGCGATATAGCCCGGCCATAAATGTGGTCTAATGGCTGAATGCGGTTTCTGGGACCTCTCCACGGTGATCCTCAGCCACATGGTGGCACTTTGTGTCATCGGGTGTTTTTCGCTTGTGTGATGTCCTGGTGGGGTAAAAGAAGATAGATAGATTGGTAGGTAGGTAGGTAGGTGCCTATTCCATTATTTTACTAGATTATACATGTTTCAGTCTCTTTCCTCGATCAAGCAGGGAGCTTGTAACACAGTGTACGAACTCCTTAGCACAAACCAGAATCACACTTACTGTAAACATTGAATTGCCTGTAAAACTTTTAAATTTTGCTAATGCAGTGAAGGCTTATTGGCACTGGACCTCCTATTTTGCCATTACTGTCTGAGGAAGCAAGGCATCATATTTAGTACCAGTCATCAGGGGATATTTACAATACTCTAATTTTCTGAATTTTGTACAGATAATCCCCAACCAGCCTAATGCTCACTCAGGTAGACAGACATATTTCTGAACTACTGTCCCAATACTGTGGTTTGTACAATATTTGCTGCACTGTTTATGATGTGTTTCCTTGCATTCTTTGTGGCAGATATTTAGGATGGCATATTTTTACTTCAGAGTCTGTGACAAATATTTATGTGCATTATCTGTTTCCCACAGGTTTGTAGAGAAGAGTGCAGTTCCTCAGCTAGTTCTAAAGGCGGTCACATAGAGACATCTGTCAACCCAGTTTGTGATTCCAGTAGGAGAGAGTACACTGTTTCTGGGCTAGCAGATGCCAGGAAGCCATCTTCCTGCTTACCTGGCAACCCTGATCTACCTGACAGGCCTTCACCTGGTGATTTGAAGACAAATTTTGAGAACCACCCAAGGAAGGATTCAGTGGAGGGTCACCTGAATCTTCGGCAGTATGTTATTCCTTCAACACGAATCAGCTACAGCAGCAACAAAGAAATAAACAACCTCAATGAATTCCCACAGAATGCAGATCATGTAAATGCACACATGTGCTCAACCAACAGGCCATATCCTTCTACCGCCAGCATTCCTGATACAGAAACTCCCTCCCCAAACTCCAGCTCACCTCATCCTGAGCTGAGACAAGACTTCTTTCAATCAACACCAGGTTCCTCAGCAGCAGACTCCTCAGAGGAAAACTACATGGCTGAGCCCGGCTGTGAGCCAGTGTATGAAGAAGTTCAGGTGCCAGCATCCATGTCCACTTTACCCAACCTGGACCCAGACGGTCATCTTTGTGACCAGTCATCAGCCGTGTATGGACATCCCTCGTGTGTGATTTCCAGTCGGTGTTAAATGTATTCAGCGAAATGTTGACACATATTCACACAGTCATGCGCCAATCAGACAACGCCATATTGCTGTGCACTCTGTTTGCTGCTATTCAGTACTACCTTTGTCATACAGTTGCTTATTTCAATTATATTTCCTGGTTTGATATAATCAAGCTGTTGGTGGAACTACAATTTCCACATGTATATTGTTTGTGAATAATTTATGAGGAAAAATATACCATGCTCATTTGAAAGTTTTAATGAGGACACAAACAACTTATTGTACAATTTATTCTCTGATATATGTCACTGTATCTCACTGTGTGATACAGTGAAATATGCCACATAATAAATTTTTGCAATATATTGTGTTCTCATTAGTCATAAGTATCAAATGTCTGTTTTCACTATTTTGTAACTGAATAGTTTTGTCAAGTCATGTATACTTTCAACTTCTGATGACTGAAGTGTTGATCAGTTCTTATGTACTTTTGACTTTTCTATAGTTTTGTCAGTTCTGCTGTATTTTTCACTATTGATGACCAAAGTTTTCAGCTTGCTTGCCCACAGAATACACCAGAATAAACCAACAACCTGAAATGACTTTGTTTTTATTATTCTTATAAATCTGTCCACTGTTTTAGTCAAGATATGTATGGTTTTGCATGCCTATTTTAAATATATTTGAGAGATATTAGTTTATCAGGGAGTTCATAATACTACAACCATCTGGTCTTGCTCAGTCAGTAATTCTGTGTTTTTCCTTTTCAAGACTGCAAACTGTAGATACATGCATTTCTTATATTGTGCAGTGAATTTGATTTTTATAAATAATAATACTATATCTTCTGAATTTATTATATATTGTTTTTGATTTATTTATATATTGTTTTTTAATTATTCTTGTCAGATGCCTCTTACTTTTTTTGTATCAACTCTGGCGAAAATATTGTTAGAATAGACAGCTAGTACTTAAAAGATTTAACAAGTTTGGCAACTTTTTCTTAGAACTGTTCTAGTCCCCCTCTCTAATGTCATATATGTCCTGTCATTATGTACAGCTAGAGATGTTCATTCTAATAGAGTATGTGCTGTTTATGTTATCTGAGAGTATTTTCCTGTTATGTTTATATTCTGTCTGTGTGAGTATCTAGAGATATTCTAAATGCATATACATCCTGCTAATGTATATCTAGAAATATTCTTTCAAATAGCATGTACGTCCTATCTGTTTGTATCTAGATGTATTATTTCTAATGATGTGTACATGATGTGTGTAGAGGTTATTCTTTGTAATGGCATAAATGTTCTGCCTCTGCATCTCTCTCAATATGTTCTTTCTCTCCATGTACATTCTATCTCCTTGTGTATCTAGAGATATTCTTTCTAAAGGTTTATACAGCCTATCTATGTTAATATCCAGTTATTATGTGAGATATTTTCTATCTAATGTATGGATTACTTTTGTTGTAAAGAATTATGTTGTATTGCATGGTTTGAGAATTGCTGGTGACATGTTTCCATCCCTGTTGATAAGCAACAGTCTCAGTGTTAGCCTTCTCATGAACTCTCCTACTGTCGTCCTGGGGAATTAACAGTGACTCTCTTGCAGACTCACAGAGTACAAAGTTTGTTGTTCTCAGCTTCATTCATCACTATGGAAACCATGGTCAGTAGAGGTATCTTGGGGAGGGGTGGGCCTACTGCATCAAAGGACTGAGCCTGCACGAGAATGACTCATGGGCAGTGTGGTCAAATGTGTTAATAGCATGGTCAGTAGTTCCTTCTATGATCAGCATAGAAAACAAATGCAAAAAAACATATATACCAAAAAAAAATGAAAAGATGACTTTGATGGTAGACTACATGCACCTGAGTGCGTAGATAATGGGGAAGTCTTTAACTGTTGGTGTTCAGATCCTCTGTACTATTGACTGATTCCTGTTTTCTATTATTCAGTCATTATATACATCGAAAACCTTTCATTGTATCATTTCTACATTACCAAGGTGTTTTTTGTTTTTAATGGTTATAATTATCTTGTGCATTGTTTCCATATTATGTCATGTTCTAGGATTATGTGGTTCCTTAGTTGCCATTGCATGTTATACCAATCAGTTGAAACAGTTACTGATAGCCTGATGAGCCAGCCTATTGTGTACATATTTGTGTCTAACAATAAATCTCTCATGCTGGTCCCAGATACATTTTCCCTGTTTACGGCTGGCCAAATGGTTAAAGCGCTGGGCTCTTAAGTGAGAGACCCATGTTCGAATCCTCAGTAAGGCTGGGGATTTTTTCCTGTCAGCGGCAAAATAAAATTCTCACCTGCACAGTCAGTGGCGACAGCACTAGCCATGCGGACGTAAATCCTCAGACTCAAAGACTCTCCACACCACAGAAAGTGGTAAAATAAAGGCAGTAATTGGCAGTTTTGCAGTAGAATTGATGGACATTTTTATATCAAGAAGCAAACATAAAAATCCATGCCTCCAGAAATCCTGAAGCTCAAGATCTGCCCTGACCGTCACTGCCTTGAAAATGATAAATACAGAATAGTAAAGACAGTTTTAATGCACTGTATGCTTAGTTATTTACTAATAACAAGATTATATTTTCAAAAGACATAAGCAAAATTCTCTCAACAAAGAATACCAGGAGCTTGGGTGTTAGACATGGTGATCAATACTAGTAAAAGGGGTTATAGTATGTTTCAATACTAGCCATAGTACACCATGTGAAAAATAATAATTATCCCAGTAAATGTGATAAATCAATGGAGATCAAGATAGAAGAGTTACCGCAAATAGACATACAGATGGACAGAACAATTACTGGAAATAGATATACAGATGGACAGATCAGTTACCAGTCTCATGCATTTTTCATTATCCTGCAAACCAGAAAGATGATCTATTGTATAATCAGTCAGTGATCCAAGTTTGAAGTTTTAAAAAAAAAAAACTTGGTACATAAAAATGCTTCATTGTACCAACAACCACCGCAGGCAGCATGGTGGAGAAAATAGAATCCTGAAACCCTGCATACTAACCACCACTACATTGTCACAAAACAAAAGTGGAACCATCCTTAAGAAACACTAGATACCAGCAACCACCACTATCACACATACACACAACACAGCAAAGAAAGTAGAATCTTGAAACTGTGCATAAGTGCATGAGATTTCAGGACCACTGTTGAGCTGATCTGTGGCATTTGAAAATGTCTCCTGAAATCAGAGCCAGTTGACAAGGATCTGTAATCAGTAACTGCTGCCTCTCAGTTTGATTCCAAGACTAATTCAGTTAAGGCCATTGATGAAGGTCCTCACCATAGCACACAGTCTGAGCTGTTTGGTAGAGACACAATGTTGCCCATGCAGTATGATTCTCTCTCTTTCTCTCTCTCTCTCTCTCTCTCTCTCTCTCTCTCTCTCTCTCTCTCTCTCTCTCTCTCTCTCTCTATCTATCTCTCTCTCTTTATCTCTCTCTCTCTCTCTCTCTCTCTCTCTCTCTCTCTCTCTCTCTCTCTCTCTCTCTCAGCCTGCCTGTTAACTCCAAAAGAAAGGTAACACCAATATGTTTAAAACAAAACAGATCAGAAGAGCAGTACTCTGTCTGCCTGTTGGATCTCCTAGACCAGCTGCTATCCAAGGCTAAGGGCCTAGTCTGCCCTGGTATAACATTTAATTTTCAGACTGCATTTCCTCTTCCTAGGATATGACTAGTATCCCCTTCAGTGTGTGCCTCCACCCGAAGCCTTTGGTACAGATAGGAGGTCATGTTTGGAATATGATGCCCATCGGCAGAGAACACGTCTTACTGCTGTGAGGTAATTCAGCCATATATGACCAGTTCAGTTGAGTCAAGAATTGACATCATTGCACTCGGGGCATTCCCATATGCGCTCTGTCCCCATCCTCAGCAGCCAGCACAGAGTTCTAATACTAATGGTGCCATTTGTAGTCTGGTTGTATGTCTGTCTTGCCTTTTCTCTGAGCGTAGTGTGTTGGACGAACCCTCTTGTCACACCCAGGTGCATCATTCTCTCCAGCCCGTAATGATCTAGTTTCTTTTCTGACTTCATGACTTGAAAAAATGCTAAGTATGTTCACTACCAGTGACCTTGCCCAAATCTAACCAAGACCTGAATAAATATGTTCTCACAAAGAGGTGGACAAACAGCTTTTCTCAGACAATAGACAGGCTGAGCAAGAGATGATACAGGAGCTCCACTGCAGGCCACCTTTATTTACATGAAGATACATGAGCTCCACTGCAGGCCACCTTCATTTACATGAAGGTACAGGAGCTCCACTGCAGGCCACTTTCATTTACATGAAGGTACAGGAGCTCCACTGCAGGCCACCTTCATTTACATGAAGGTACAGGAGCTCCACTGCAGGCCACCTTCATTTACATGAAGGTACAGGAGATCAACTGCAGGCCACCTTCATTTACATGAAGGTACAGGAGCTCCACTGCAGGCCACCTTCATTGACATGAAGGTACAGGAGCTCCACTGCAGGCCACCTTCATTTACATGAAGGTACAGGAGATCAACTGCAGGCCACCTTCATTTACATGAAGGTACAGGAGCTCCACTGCAGGCCACCTTTATTTAGGGGTTTTTCCTTCACAGTCACAACTCATCTTCCTGAGAGGTGAGAAACCATCAGTCTGCATGCAAATAAGCCAGATTTGTAAAATAGATATACATGCAAAACTCAAGTTCTGGAACAAAACTGAAGAACAGAAGTGGAAAATCTTCCTGAGAGGTGAGAAACCATCAGTCTGCATGCAAATAAGCCAGATTTGTAAAATAGATATGCATGCAAAACTCAAGTTCTGGAACAAAACTGAAGAACAGAAGTGGAACAACGAAAACTTTCCACCAGAGTTTACAGCTGGTGAACACCAAGAGTGGTTATGTAATTCATTTCAGTTTACATGTTTTTTGATGTAACTTTGTGTTTTAATGCTTGAAACATGAGATCATTTTATAACTACTAATGTTGTC